GTTGTATTGCAAAACAAAAAAAAATTAGGGATGGGTCACCCTTACAATTTAGGGTTATGAAAAATATATGTTGGCCGATTCTCAGACCTACCCGATGTGCACACAAAATTTCATGAGAATCGGTCAAGCCGTTTCGGAGGAGTACGGGAACGAACATTGTGACACGAGAATTTTATATATAAGATTTATTAAAAGTAAATCGAGTAGAAGTAGTCAATATATTAGAAATAAGGCAAGTTAGCTAAAACATCCAGTTATCAAAAAGATAGCATAACATTTCATAGATAAGTAAAATTGTATTCATTTCACCTTAACCTTTTTTTTTTCCGTGCGGAAATTCCCTCGGATACCACCATGTATCGGTGGCATGTCGGACTCGAACCGACTAAAACCGCACGCCGTCTCGGGTACTAATAGCCGGGGAACCTGGTATACCTCGGGCCATCTACAGACGAGTAGACGACACCCCCCCCCCCCCCCCGTGTGGGAACCCCATGTTCCCTCTGCTCCCTGGAAGCGAGCGCGCTTCGCAACGCGCTCGCCGCCACCCCGGCCTGCTTCTGCTAGAGTGACAGATGGCCTCATATCACCTTAACCTAATTCAACTGCACAGAAGTTCAACTTATACTGGTGACATAATGGTGCAATTTGCAGTTGCACCATTATGTCACCAGTATAAGTTGAACTCCTGTGCAGTTGAATTAGGTTAATAACAATTATTAAGCACCTAAATGTCCCTTTCACTCATTACCTAAATTACAGAAGTTGTCCTTATCAAATGACGGCAAGTGTATCGATAGTGTTGAGATTTATAGGTCGATATTTGTTTGGTCATAATTCGTTTTTTTTAATTGAAGTTTTATTAATTTGTTAAAAAAAGTGGCGTATCATTGTGTATATGTTATTGGTTTCCTAAATGCTTCAAAGAAAAAGATATGTCTTTTATGTTATGTTTGAGAAAAAGAATTGTCGAGGGGACGATTGTTTTTCTACAAGACATTTCACAGAAGACAATCTTCAGATTATGAAAAACCGTAGAAGGCTGTTGGAAGACAAAAAAGACCGATCCTTTTCTGAGTGACATTTTTATACCAAGCTCATCCATTTTTAAAATCAATGAAATATGTATTTTAAAATCATATGTACGAATCTAGCCCTCCTGTGATGAGTGATTTAAGTCGAGTTGTGCCCCTTTTGTGATTTTATATAGAAATATTCAGAAAAAAATATATTTTTTGACTAACTCACGTTTTTTTATCTACTATAGTTTCGGAGATAATTTTGTGCAAAAGTGTATAACTTAACCTTAAGTTATAACCTCTATAAGTAATTTATCGTGCTTCGTGGTGTAAGTGCGATAATATTGATTTTCACATTTTATTTTTTAGAAAATGTATCGTGAATGTTGATACAATTACAGTTAAATCACTTTGAAAAGATCCGAACAACATATTCTAATGAGTTATTAGATATTTGTACTTAATTTATATCGATTTACACGAAGGCAGCTTATAGGTGCAATATAATTTAACTGGACTTGTATGATTTATCACGTAATTTTAACATGTATTAGAAATAGGAAACGTATAACTCACTGGATTTTCCAGAATTATTTTAAAACTATAATATTAACCACAAAAATTTAAGCGTAGAGTGAAAGTGAACGTATTTATCTACAAAACAAGGTACTCAAATTTAACTTAGTCCAGTTAGATCGCGAACTAGTTTTTTTTAAATATGGTTTTTGTTCTCCTGTAAAGTGTTGATTTTTTTACTTGTATCACTAGTCACAGGAGGCACAGAAAAATATAAACATTGTTTTACTTTTTTAATAAATATCAAATAAACATTAATCAATATAATTATCAATAAATCAAAAATACAATAAATATCAATTAAGCACCACAATAATTGAGATCATCAAACAATTTTATCCACCAACGTCCCCATTCTGTCCCAGCACTATGGTTCGGTGCATTCTAAGCTTGACCTTTAAATATCCAATCACAGCGCATTTGATACGTCCTCCGCAACCCTTGCAACTCGAATCGGAACAAATATTGATGCAAGTAGCTTGCGCAGGTTATTTGCTTCGCAAAAAGAACTATGCCAGTCCAGCAACTCAAGTATGTACCAGCGCGAGGGTGGCTCGGGCTAGTACATGCAGTTAACCCGCACGTTCCGTGCTGCGCGCGCTCCCTCGCCCGCGTGACTTGCGCAGGTACGTCTGTACCTGTTCGCGCAATGCGCAACTGTTCGACTGACACCGGTTTAACGCAGGTTATTTGCTTTGCAAAAAGAACTATGCGGGTCCAGCGACTCGAGCATGTAACTTGCGCAAGCAGCATTCACATTATATCAACCAAACCGCTCAAGGTACTTGCACCATGTAGAAGCTACCTTACTGAAGTAGTTACAACATTAGTGTGTCCTCCTTAGTCACGAACGAATTGCAAGCAAAACACTTGTGTGTGTATGCGAGTCCCACTTAAGTTTGAACAAGGAAATTATGTAGCATCCACACATGCTGTCTACCACAGATTCAGTCATTTATAAGTCAAACTACAAAACAGGCGTTAATAGCGTTAATGGCTTCAGCAATAGTTCCAAACAACCATTCAAACCCGAATTCTAGGGGTTTATTAGTAACCACTCGAGAACTCCTAGTCACCCTAGCTCCATATCAGATCCCTTCCAAGATGTTAAATTAGACTTGCAACGAATATTCGGTTACTATTCGGTATTCGGCCTATTCGGCTGCTTTTATTATATTCGGCCGAATACCGAATATCTACATATTATTCGGCCGAATACCGAATACTTAAATAATATATTTTGTCATTGAGAAAAAAATGAAAAATTAAAATCGATTGATTACGTATATATTCATATTTTCATTTCTGTTATAATCATTTAAGTAGTCATTGGTGCATAACACAGGTACATAATCATCTTCTGAATAGGAAAAATTGAGGATTCTATGTATTTGAATTATTGTGGGAATCAAATTCAAAATCAAAAAAAAAAGTAAGGTTCTCATTTCTTTTATAATCATTTATTAAGTAGTCATTGGTACATAAAACAGGTACATAATTTAATTCACGTCTGTACAAGTTTTTGGCGCTAAAATCCAGCCGAATACTTTTGCCTAATATTCGGCTATTCGGTCAGGGGCCTCGCCGAATATTCGGTATTCGGTATACTGCCGAATATACTATTCGTTGCAAGTCTATGTTAAATTTAAATATCCAATCTACATACCTATGTACTTACAAACTTCCATTTCAAAATAACAATTAAAATGGGTGAAAAATAATTTGCAAGTTTTGTTTACGTAGGGTGCTTCTACACGAGGCCAGTAGCTTGCACATGTTAGTTAGTGTAACCCACACGAGCAGCATGTACATTATATCAACCAGCAAGTAGCCCACGGCTTTGCCCACTCCAGTTACTTGCACCATGTAGAAGCAGTGAAGAGTTATAAATACAAACGGTAAAAAGACGCAAATCCTTATTAAAATCGGAACCATCCATCGCAGAAGGCGACTCCGTCCTACACCTTTGCTAAGGAATTTATCTTGTGGTGATGGATTAAGAATACAGAGTGTCACCACCCTTATTCATCCCTTGGGTGTCGTAAGAGGCGACTAAGGGAGTAAACTACGCAGGACAACAGCACTGCAGAGAGAAGGAAAACTTGAAACAAACCGTATACCAACCCGTCTGGCCAGCGTGGTTTAGTAGGCCAAAAGCTCCTTTCTGAGGAGAGGCCTATGTCCAGCAGTTGACTAGTAAAAGCTGTTGATGTGATTGATGTGATGAGCTAAGGAAGAGAGCTCGGTTAATCTCACTTACTCAGTGTAAAGTAACGAAATAATTGTTAAGCGCTAAAAACCGCTCAAGCAATAACTGATTATCTTTAAACAATGCGTCACGCCTCATATCTTGCGATGCCACCAGGCACCATATTATCCACTTACAGAATTTTCCTAATATGCTTGGGTCTAAAGAAAAAAAGAAAATATATACATACATTTTATTATGTACAATAATTGTTTAAAAATATATCTATCGATAATATAACAAATGTAATATAAATGAAGGAGATTTTATTAAGGTATTCATATTTTTTTCTCTCTGCTCTGGATCTTGATAGTACCAAAACTTATCATAGATAAATAGATCATAAACATAGGTGCTATGGTACCACAGAGGTATCGGAGCAATAATACCAATACCACTTAACAATACAGTCGATAGTATTCATGAAATTCAATACAACAGTGCAATCACAAGTACCGTTACTACCAAGGCTAGCGCTATTAAAAATTGTGTCAAATATTTAGTACACTACCGTTTACCACACTATTCCACAGACATCGATGACATTTGTGTCAGTGACAGTCATCAGTGTGACAGACAGTGACAGGAGGCCTCTCGCCAAATGCCAAACTATTAAGACGACAGTTTATTGATACAATATTAAAATAGCGTAGTTGGGGCCCGGTACTCTGCCAGGTGCTACCAAAAACATCGTAATTCGAGATAGTTAACTAATTATTTTTCGATTAAGAAAACTATATCGACCGCAACAACACTATTAAAATGCGAGTCTTAAACCAGTCGATGTTGCCAGTGATTGATTACTTATATTACCCATGATAAAGGTAAAAGTTGTCTACAAGACATGATTCTGAACGAATACTCGTAGGGTTACCCAAGATTGATTCTTGAAAATTCCATATTCTAAAACAAGATGCCACTATACTGTATATTTAAAAAAAAACACAATAATTAATTCTCATTTCTACTGTTACCTGTTACATAACAAAAACCTTTTTTTCATTTTTAAATACTTCATTTAACTTTCATACATACATTCTCTTACACATTCAATATCTTAAAATTAAGTAAACTATTTATATATATACTTATAAACAATATTCAGAATGACATACATCTTAAACCATGGTTAATAAAAAAATATTTGTCTATGGTTACTACGCTTTCTTGTATTCGATCCTCTCCACTTTAACCTCGTCTCCGAGTAGTTTGTACACATATGTCACTACTGTTGAGCTCTGGATGTCCATCAGCACGAACGAGGGTGTCGCATTTCTGAAACAGAAACAGGAATAAATAAAAAAGTAGAATCAAATTGTTCATTGATATTTTTCATAAAAAAAAACTTTTCCTGCAGCTTCTAGTTTTATACAATCTATGAAGGTGTTCCTCGGGAGTAATACTGTTTGTTAAATCATTTTAAATGACTAAAGGTACTATGGTACTCAATGATGATTGGAGGTACTCTAAAATTATATCTGTAACATGTGCAATGGTATACAAAATTTTATGGTAATTGTGAGTAGAAAAGGGTTAAAGGAGAACAAACAAAGTTATATTCGTATTTTTGGTAAGGATCATAAGTATTATTATTTATTTATTACTAGCTTTCGTCTGTCGACTAGAAATCCGAATAGTTGTAGGAACTATAACAAGACACCTAGCCCTGAACCGACAACTATTCACCATTAATGCGACGGACAGTCCTCTTTGCAGGGGGTGCCTGAAAGCAGAGGATGCCTGAAAGCAGAAGAAACGGCCGCCCACGTAATCCTGGAATGCGAAGGAGTGGCCACACTACGGGCAAGTATCATTCCTGATACAAAACCGCTCTTAGAAGCCTGTGAAAGCCCCAGGAGGATTAACCAATACCAATAGCTTTCGCGTGCGGCTCCGCTGTCAAAAGTAATGTGCGGGGAAATTACTTTAAAAGAAGTTTCAGGATGATCAGTTCAGTTAAGATTCTTTTTATTTAACTTCAACTTTACAATCGGTAAAATGCCGTTGATAAAAAATGTAAAAGTGTAACAAATAAACGGTATTGCTTAAATAGTTGAAGAAGGTAGCGGAAGATTGTAGGATTAGAAATAACGAAGTGACAATAACGAAATGGTATTGAAAGTGTGTGTCGCCAGTAAACGATTTCCATGAGGCATGGTCCTAAGTAAAAAGTCTGACTGTCCCGTCATATTCACCAGAAATAATGACACCTACTGCAAGTTTGGAGAACCTACTTCCTCCGAATCAAATGATCTGTTGTCACTAGCTTCTATCAGTTCAGTCAAAGCACCAACGTAATACTAAGGGTCCAAAGAGTGATTATTTAAACATCTTTTAACCTATTAGTGGGTAGGCGTATATGAATGGTAAAAAAACTAACAAAGAACAATGGCAGAAACATATTTACCTAAAACTTAAGCGTTTAAAAAATCGAGTCACAGTAAACTTAATCAAAAAAATTTCTATGATTTATCATTACACCACCATGTGTTGTATAAGTCTTATAAGAGATAAGATATTTTTGAAGATTTTATTTGACCTAAGTACGTAATGTCAGATTCGCCATCACGTATAACTGACTAGGGATGCGTGGTGGCAATATTATATTATGGAACAATTTATCGATAATCGATTCTTATAGCTTTGGCTGAAATATTTACCGAAGGTTCACTATTATGATTATAAATTTGCTTCTGCCCACGTCTTCACTCGTACGGTAGAGTGACTGAATCAACATAATTAGAAATGATTTAAAATATTTTTGACTCTCTTTAAACGATTTTAAACACACTAAAGAAATAGAATATAATTACGTTATTTTCCACTACACAGTGTGATGAGAAAAATACATTGTCTTTGATATTTATTTAATTTATTATTCTGCGTTCTTTCTCAAATGTTTGCAATGCCTGGAAAAGGCTTCTGAGTTGGGACTACTACAATTATAATATTATAAGATCATTGATGTACACTTGGTTGGCAAATAAAGATTTGATTTGATTTGACATAAATAGACATACATCGATATTTTCAAAATGTCGATACGTCGTCGTTTAGTACATATCTCTTAATCTGTGGTTTAGATCCTGTCAAGTTCCGGACTCACCACGTTTGTTATTTTATTTTTGTTTAATTTAGTGTTAAACTCGAATAGATGTTATGCTTTTATTTTATTTTTTTCATATACTGTAATAATAATGAAAATAATATTTTCGGCTATCTCACACAACGCCATCTAGTTTCAAACAAAACATTAACAATATGTTAGTACTTAACCTCGAAACATTTAAAATCCAATATCTTTTTTCCTAGACTTCTTTCGCAAGTAATTTTGATATGAGAATGGTCAAGAATAAATTCTCAAGTGTTAAGGATTTTTTGATATTTAAACGCTAACATTTCAGTTCAAATAAAATTATGTATGGGGACCTGCCATTGTCCTTTATTAATTAGGTACCCGCGAGATCGCTCGCATGGAATTTGAAAAGCGGTGTCTTAGTTGTGTAGTACGGTATGCGACTGCAGTCCATTAGGCCTCGGGTTTTTGTGAGAGGAATAATAGCCTAAGTTACTCCTTATATAGACTGCTGGTACCTGGTAGTAAAATATTATCAAAATCTTTTGAAGATTACCCGGAATAAACAGACAGACAGACAAAATATATTTAAACTGGTTTTTAGGCATAGTTGTCACGCAAATAACCGTGTGGTCATAAAAAAACATTATTTTGACATTACAAACAGACACTTTAATTTTATTTATTTGTATAGATAAATAACAACAAACAGTAAGATGGAAGGCTATGAGAGTTGGGAAAGGATGACTGGATTAGGCTGAATGATTGCAATAACAACAAAAAATTACCTGAATAATGGGCTATAAGCACCAGTGGCTGATCCAGGATTAATGTAGAACTTGTTTTCATGCTCATAAGCCTCAAACCTGTGCGTGTGGCCCGAGATAAGTATATCCACATCCAATTGTCTTTGAACTAATGCCAGAGATTCTTCATCACCCCATGGGACTACTTGATGACCGTGAACAAGGCCAATGCGAAATTGACCAACGGTTATTACTTTCTGTTCCGGGTACGTTGAATTCTGTAAATGATAAGACAAATTTTAGTAGTAAAATATGTTTTTTTTTATTTGTGTTTCCATTACTTGTAAAACAATTTCAATAGTATTTTTGTAATAGAATTGGTGGTAGTCAAGGTTAAAAGCTGCAGTTGAGCTCAATCTTGAAGAAAATATTCCGCCTAGAGGATGAAAATTAATCAATGAAGGATGGAGGATTGAACAATATTTACTGGGATTTTGATGCATTCAAGTCAATTTTACTTTTTGATATGTAACATCTTCCTTCTCACTGCCCTGAGGGGGTGATTGTGTCACGAGGGGGCCATCTAAAAGCCCGACAATCTAGATGGCCCAGGGTCCGTCGGGTTTCCAGGTTACGCTTCCTAGGTTACGCCTGGTTCCCCGACTACTGGTACCCGAGACGGCGTGCGGTTTCTGGTCGGTTCATGTCCGACATAACCACCGGTGGTATTCGAAGGGATTTCCGCAGACAAAAAAAAAGGGGGGAGTGTGTAAAAAAGAATAGAAATGTGTAACAGTAGGCAAGTAAGCACGCACTAATTGCTTTGGCCAGAGCCTGCTCTGTTTGAAATAATGTATCAGAGAACTTTTATACCTACTCATATTCTGCAAAATAGTCTTGGTTTAATTTGAAATGTTACACATTATATGACACTATCACTCATCACACCACATGACATCAACAGCCTTTAATACTGGAAAGTCCTTAGAAAGGAGGTTTTGGCCTACTATACCACGCCATGGCCAGACAGGTTGGTATAAGGTTTGTGCCAAGTTTTCCTTCTCTTGACAGTGCTGTTGTCCTGCATAGTTTGCTCCCTTAGTCGGCTCTTACAACACCCACGGGATTAATAGGAGTGGTGACAATCCGTATTCTTAATCTGTCACCGCACGGACACAGTATCACTCAATTGATAATTGTATTTTTTTATAGATGGATGTTACAAAATAGCATCTTTAAATGTTAAACCAAAGTACATACATTAACTTGACTGTTATACATTATGGACCATTTTCTTTCTCATCTTAAGTAAGCTGAACTCATGAAAGAAATAAATATACAGAGAGCTCACTGTATATCTATTTATATATCTCTCTATATTATATGGCTCTATATATCTGTATATCTCTTAATATATTTTCAGCTGAATACGAGTATAGGCACAATGTATTACTATTTACGTAAAGAATTTTAAACCATTTTGCATTTTGATATAATCTTAATTAGATTGAATATCTTACCTCATCAAAGTCCCCCCTCACAACATGCACATCACTGGCCAATGTCTTCAAATAATCATACGACTCTTTTGTACATAAGTTGCCTGTACACAAAATGTGCTGTATCCTGCCCGGTAACAGCAGCTTCTTGAACTTGGGTGGCAAGCTGCTGCAGCGGTGAGGAATGTGAAGGTCACCAAGAACTAGGACTAACTAGAAAATATAAAAAAAAATGTTATTTAATTAATTATTTATTTATTTGTTTACTAGCTGATACCCACGACTTTGCTAGCGTTGAATTGAAAACCGTTGCCTTAGTGGGTTTGATTCCCGGACCAGGCAAAATTTTCAAAGGGTTTTTCTGAGAGGAAAAATAGCCTAAGTTACTCCCTATATAGACCTACTACCTGGTAGTAAAATATTATCAAAAACGGTCCAGTCGTTAAGAAGATTACCCGGAACAAACAGACAGATAAACAAAAAATAATATAAGCTAGTTTTTCGGCATTGGTATTGTGCAAATAACCATGTGAGCATTAAAAAGAATCTATTATTATGACATTTTAAACAGACCCTTTAATTTTATTTATTTGCATAGGGTATAGATTATGAAACTTTGAACTTAAACATTGCAACTCTTAGCCAATAATAAAGTTTCCCGACAAGTAAAACTGCATTCACCACTTAATACATAGATAAATTCTGGTATTTATGTAGGTATATTGTGCAGAGTGAGAAGTTTTATTACAGAAAGTAACTTATAGAATAATCTATGATTGTAGATTTTTAGTGATTCGTTTTTTAAAAACACTTGAGTCCACCTCTGAAAAAGTGTTTTTAAAAAACAAATCACTGTCATGTGTCAATGTCATCAAAATAATCATAAGGTAGGGTAGGTAAGCAAGTGACATGCGACGCAAGCGAGTAACAGCATTTTTATCATAATTAGCGCATAGAGGAACACGGAACAGGCGTAGGCGTCAATTGTAGTTATTAGCTCTGATGTTATACCATCTGGTAATTCAAGTTACGGTTGCAATCCTGACCTATCCAAACTGCCCTTGCTCCGCAAATCAAGTCTATATGATTGGATTAAGAAGTGACACTCCGAGATTTTCTACTTAACTAGGTTAGGGTCAGCTTTTAAGTTTACTACAATATGGTTGAACTTTTAAGCGACTATCTCCACAACCCAAGTACTAAACAATATAGAAGTTCTGTAGAAAGATTGTTGTATGACTTGTAGGGGGCCAACCACCCATTCCGGTTGTCACAAAAACATTGAGATTGACATCTTAACGTACTCTCCGAGGCATGGAGGGGACTCAATGTATTAAGAATGGCAACCCATCCAAAGACTGACCTGGCTTAGATTGCTTAACTTTAATAACATTCATTCAAAACTTCCTACACCCGACACATTTTGAAAATTGTTAATGCATGTTATCTTCATATCGTCTAAAGTAGTCCATTGAAAAAATTGTACGAGTCGCGATACAGGCTTCGCCTAGTGCAGCTTTCCACTGATATTGTAGTAACATGTATCTGAGCTGCTAATATTTACTTTAATTATTAATATTAAGTGATAGTTCAAGCAAGAGAATTAAATAGAAGGGATTTAATAGAAAGAATAGAAGGGATATTGACAATATAAGCAATAAACATTTCATTTCCTGTCCATAGACTCCTAATTTTTCTATTTAATTTTTAAAGAGCTCCGTTAATAGTAATAGTCTTTCCTCCTATTCATTTTTAGTAACAAAAATGTTAGCTAAGCTAATGTTAGGTAAGCTAAAATAAAAGCAAATATGAGAATTCTAAGAATTAAAGAGTTTTAGCAGTATTGTCAAATACAATACTGCTAAAACTCTTAAGAAAAGCTTTGAGCATGAGTATCGTAATCGTAAATTTAAAGAAGTAGAGCAAACAGATCCCTGAATTGGCCTTGTACAACTAATAAAATTATTTTTTTTATCTTATATCTCTTACAATCGAAAATAATTAGGGGTGTATTCATAATTTAGTAAACTTACCATGATGCAAAAGTAATTTAATATGAAGACAAATAGTTATAATTTCTTTCACTGGGGTAAATGCAGTTGATAAAATGTTAGCTGAGTTAGTTTATTAACTTACAACAAAATTTAAAAGGGAAATTAATATAATAATCGTTCGGTTCTAATTGACAGTGACAGATGTGACACCTAACTACTCCTAGAGATTGACAACTGATTGCGTCAATTGCGTGTTTTCATAGTCTCTGTAATTCTAGTCAAATTAGACGAATTTTTTGCATTTTTGATAAGAAAAATACTTAAAGGATATCACTGTCATCCAATTCAGGATATTTTTTATTTATTTAAATTGAAAGTAATTTGACACTTAAATTACTTTTGTGAATGTTGTAAAAGAGGGTACGCATTAGTACCGTTAGAAATAAAACACATTTTTAGTCTATGAAAAAGTATTGTTGTCCATTAACAACGTGAAAGACTAAAATATGATAATTATTGTAATTAAATATTTTCCATCTTAATTAACACAGTATACGAAATTTACTGAAAACTATTTCTTATAGACGTGTTATTACTATAATTCTGGGACTAAAGTGGTGTTGAACTTTTCTGTGAGCTATCAAGCTTGCAAAACTAGTGTTTTAATGAAACATTTTGTGGATTCATGAAAATTTTATAGTCATCGGAACTTAAATATGTCCATAATGGTTAACTTTCCTTTTATTTTGTAAAGACGTGAATCAACGTCATGACTTTTTCTAGTTTGTTTTGGTAGCACCATCACATCACTTTTTTCTATACTCTATGGTTCAGGTGCGGATAGAAAAGAAAAATTTCATGGTGTTGTGGGTGACACATATACGTAGAAAAAATTTAGTTTAAGTAAGTCACATTGGCACCAACTGCAGGGAAATGGAATCAATGGAATATGAGCTCGCTAGGAACCTTACTCTATTGTTCTTCGTGGAACGCCTGCTCGACAAAGGCGAGCCGCGCACGTTGCACGATCTTTCCTGCCAGTTTGGTGCCAAAGGATTCACCAAGGAGATGCGACAAATCGCTGGCGGGTCCCAGTCAGGATTAAAGAAATTCCTGGCTCAATACCCGGCGTTGTTCAGCATAGACGGGGACTATGTTGATATCAACACGTTCCAGAAGCATACGAGCGGGGCTGGTGCGTCGTCGAACAACGACTACATCGAAGAAGCGAAGGAGTACTTCGCGAGCAAGATGATCCAGTACGGCGAGGGCACTGAAGTGCCAATCAAAAGCCTCCTCGGCCACAGAAGCCAAGCCTCCCCGCAGGTGCGTCACATCTCCGGTCAGAGGATCAAGGAGTTCAAGGAGTTCCTCATGAAACATCCTGACAGCTTCCAGATTATCGACGATAATGTTGTTCTAGTCAGTGAAAATCACAGGAGAGGTAATGCACACACAAACTCTGAACAATTCCATAATTTACCTGTAGCTAATATTAACACAGATACAGCCCAACAGTTATTAGATTATGTCGCACAATGTATAGAAGCTAAGGGACCTGTTATGGTAGACCAACTCTTCCACTTGATTGTGTCACGTTTTCCACAAGAGTATTGGTATCAGATGTTTAAATCTCCAGCTGATTTAAGTGCTTTCTTAAAGATCTTCTCAGACTCATTCCATGTTCAGGCAAACCTGGTCACACTTATTAGTAAACCAAAAATACCTGTAATGTATCTAAATGCAAAAGCTAAAGCAAAGACTGAAACACCAAAGCCTGTGGTTGTGGAAGAAAAAGAAAAACCTGCATCCCCTATTCCTCCCCCAGTTGTAAGTCCGACACCTTCCGATGGTAAAATGAGCCCTGCAAACAGAATACTCAGTCCTACTGAATCTCCCCGAGGCACTCAAGCTAATATAGCCAATCAGACCCTTAAACAAAGAATTAATTCTATTGTAATAAAGAACTTGGCAGAAAATATGGTCAGAGATAGGGTTAATAATCACTTGAATGCTCGAAACTCAGAGGAGACAAATGGCACTCCGAGTTTAAGGAGTAATTTAATGGGTGAAGCTTGGCGCCAGAAGGTGCTACAATGCACAACAGTCATAGCTAATGTAAGAGAATGTGCCGCTTTGATTGAAAGCATAATGGCACCTAAGCGTAATGCAAAAAGCATAGTTTCGTTTGATTGTGAAGGTATAAATCTCGGCCTAAAAGGAGTATTGACGTTATGTCAAATAGCTACCATGAATGGTGAAGTATACATACTAGATATAATGGCATGCCCAGGCATGGTTATTGAAGGTAAAATTAAGGATCTACTTGAGAGTGAGAATGTTGTCAAAATTATACATGACTGCAGAAATGACTCTGTAAATTTGCATAATCAGTTTGAGATTGTTTTGAAAAATGTTTTTGATACACAGGCAGCGCATGCTGTACTACAATTACAGCAACAGGGAGTGCCAGTCTACAAAGTAAAAAACCTAAGTCTTAATGCCTTATGTGAATTGTATAATGCACCGATGAATCCTATGAAGGAACAGTTAAAAAATGTCTACAGAAGAGATCAACGCTACTGGGCTCGAAGACCTTTGACAAAGGATATGATTATTTATGCAGCTTCCGATGTACTATCACTGGTTAATTCAGCAATTTATGCTTACATGTCTGGCAATATTAAGCTAGAGAACCAACAGCTCTTTGAAGAACTGAGTAATGAACAAGTATTTATGCACATACAACCGACAGAAGTTAAATTAAGGAAAAGGCAAAGGAAAATTAATACAGAGGTTGGTGAATTGAAACAAAAGTTGGCAGAAACCACTAAGAATATTGTACTTAGTAACAGAGAAATAAGGTTATTAAGGTACATTGAGCTCACTGAGGAAGAAAAAGAGAAATTGAAGGGTTGCCATAAAATATCCAAGAAACTGGAGAAGTTGGAAGCCATTGGACATGAAAAAGATTCTGACTCTGAAGATGATGAAAGAGAAAATGAGATGGCTAGCTTAGAGTCAAACCCCTCTGATCCTATATCATCACCACACTCCACACAACCACCAAGCCTCACAGAATCCATGCAGATGATGGATGAAATTTTGTCAGATGCAAATATGGACAAAGTTGAAAAGATAAACCGACTGGAAGCGATTCTGTCTGCTGTTGCTCCGCTCAGTGGAGAGCTAGAGGATAAATTCTCACAAACAATGGAACAGACATTGCCATTGCTCAAAAACAAGGACTGGTCCAATCTAAGCCAAATTTTGAACTTAGGAGAACCAGATAGAAAAAGCTGTTGCTGCAGATGCCATAATCCGCCTTTGGAGGAAGTTAAGTGCAATGATCTCAATGAAACTAAGAAGTTAGAGGTTGGCTCACAAACTCTTAGCACAGGGGACATTGTGATTACGCGAATTCACTTCAGGGAGGAGGATAAAGCAAACGAAAGGATTCTTGATGCATCCCCATTGAGCAAAAGGGTAGGTATTAATAATATGTCTTGATGACACTCAGGATAGTATAATATTTCCATTTTTCTGAGTGCCACATTTTAGTTTCGAAACTGTTTATTTATGTGATCATTTTTTACATTTTTAAGTTTAAAGAAATTAAGTTGGCTCCCGCGCCGTCTATGAAATCAGTTATTATTCTCTGAACTAGTTTCGCGGGGGTACGATAGCGGTGCGACTGCGCGAGATGGAATAAATTAAGCCTGTTGTGAGGTCGTCCATTTCTAAGTGTATAAACGCCTACGCTATATGTTCATTTGAGCGGAGACGAGCGCATACACTCGAATAAATGAAACAGTAATTCGCATAATAGAATGTCTACTTAATTCCTTCGTCTGGAAATGACAGTATTCGCTGTTACGAGTTTTATAGTAATTTATTTTATGTTGGCTATTGCCTATTAAGTATCCCAAACTTAAATGTGATAGTTTTCAGGGCCTTTTTTTCTCGATCTACTCTGAATTGTAAATAAGATAAATTTTGATAAGCATGCATAATCTTTTCATCTTCAAAAATGACGATATGATCGAGCGTTTTTCCGTTATCTTTAGTAAGTCAAGTGTATATACCTATTTATTTATTTATACGCTAATTTTGTACGACACTACTAAATCTTTATCGAAGAGGGCAATAATAGGTGTATACAATAAAGATTTGTTTCTTGTATTGTAAAGTATTTAATAAAAATCGTTAGATTTACTCGTAGATAATTAATCACATTAAAGAAATATATAGAAAGTGGTATAGGGTTAGGATTATTGAACGAGATGTTATATTATAGTGTGAGGTGGTGCTTGAAAACGTTAATTTATATCGTTTTATTTCTCGTAGAGTGTTCTAGACACCTACGTTAGGTCACGTTGACACGTAGTTATATGCAAATTAACGTGTTTGTAATACAATCGTAATGGTTGTCTCTTAAAATTTTGTTTTAAAAAAATTGTGCCTTCATGTCATATCGGACGAATGCCTTTATATTCAATTAATATATCAAGTAGGTTTTTATACATATTTGTAGTAATTCTGTAACACGAAGTTTAGATGAAATTTGTTGTTTGTGAATAACACATTGTATACAAGAGTTTTTATGAACTAAACTACCACTGACACACTAACTAGATAGGTGATTAGTTCTCAGAATCTATTGATGTTTCTTCATCACGTTAACGAAAGTATTTCTAGACATGTTGAATTCATTCGAATAGTTTATTTTTGTGTTATGGTTAAGTAGAAATGTGTTAAAAATTAAGTGATATTTTAAATGCTTTTTGCTTAGTATCGTAGCAAAACTTGCAAATACGACATCTTGTTTTTTTTTTTAAACCACAGGCAGCTTAGACTATAGACATGCCGCATAATCGTCTTTCAGTCAATGCAATTTATAGCATAAAATATATAAAGGTATGTTTTCTTTTTATTATTATATTTAAGTAGCTAATTATTTATGAAAATGTTGGCCAATAAAAAGTTTGCATGGTTTATTCTAGCATGTTCAGAAAATAAATTATCACTTTAAAAAAACGGATTAACCGGCATGTTTACTGTTTAGCGTACTTACGTATTAACTTTGTTTACATGAGGTTTAACAATTAGGTTACGATACTCGATAGTGTGATCATGCAGATAATTGGTGCAATTACGTTGGTGATATTTTTATTCTATGCTATTTAATAAAATCGTACATATCCAAATATTTTATACAAATGTAATGGATATGTCAGCCTGATTGTTGTGTTATTGCATTCCTTGCGTTCTTGTTAAGCCTCATTAAATAAAAGAGTAGTTATTTGCAGTGCAAATACTCTGTAGTGTATTAATCATCAGTATTGTATCCTTTATTTTGAAAATAGCTGTTATACTATATACCTAGACAAGATCTAAAAATACTACCAATTTCCGTCTGTAGGTTTTTGCTGTTTATACTCAATTTTATGAACTGCTCTGTATCAATTTTTATCGATGAAATTATTGGGCACTTTTATGATGAATTGTATTTTTAAATATATTTCGGCCATATTTGTTGCTCGGCATTTTATACATTTTGTGCCTTATATATTATATACTTGCACAATTTACGAAATAGCTACTCTTGTACACATTTTTGTATGGTTTTGTAAAATGTTATCAGTGCCACTATTTTTGTTTTACTATATTGTAAGGAGCATTTTGTTAGTCAATATAAGCGACCGTTCAGTTATTTTTTAATTTAAAATCTTTAGAAACTTATTTTACCCTACTTACCAAGAGTATAATTGCTTACGACGAGAAAGTCGGTAATATTATAATGTGGCAAATTGTCGGTAAACTAATTTGCGCATTGTTTATGTTTATTATGAATAAAAAGTTGTAAAAAGACAATGGTTTTATTGACGTGTGTACCAATCCAGCTTGCGTTACCTACTTTGTGTGTACGAGTTATAATTTTATACATACTTCGGTTATGTTCATAGCTCAGAGATTTGATTTAATTACGTAGGTATCATATGCAAAATATTTTATTTAAATTAACCACTAACTATGGTACAGAAATCGTCACAGATGGTGAGCATAAAATGTTAGTTTTGTTGTTTTTCTCTTGTAGAATAAGCTGCGGACTGCCCCATTTTAAATCCTAATAAATAACGATTTGGGCTTGAAATAGCATAGCACATAATTTACACATTAAGTAACTCAAAACAGTTAGTAGAAAAGAATGACTCACAGTGCAATCGTCTTTATATTTTAATCGTGGGAAAACAAATGTTTAGTTAATGTCGGGATTTTCCGTCGCCCATTTGCGTACAGGGTACCCTCGTACACCCTAATAAAAAGCTTCAGAACCCCGGCAGATCTTGAACGTCTCGTTAGCAGGTATCACTGGAGTATGGCAGGTATTTTCTCTCCAGATCAGATATACACAAGAAACACATTTCGGCTCTGCACACAGTGGGCAGCCTGGCCCGTTATCGCTAAGCCGGAGGTATGAGATTATTCTACGCTCATCGCCATCTGGTACGTCTTCAGCGGAGCAGGAGATTGATTTTCCTTTACCGATCCTCCGCTTGTTGGTAGGTATACATTTCCCGCGCACTAGGGTCACGGTCAGAATCGTGGTCTCCAGCAAGAACCTCCCGTACCGTTTTCTACGCTACACTGTAAAAAAACAAAAAAAAAACTGTATAAATCGACACTGGTGGACTGTAGCGGCTACAGTCCACCAGTGTCGATTTATACAGTTTTTTTTTTGGTTTCTTAGAGGTTTTCTCACACAGAGGTTGACGGTCAGGCTTGAGAGAATCTCTTTGCATCAGGCTATATGCACGCATGGGCGTTCCCACAGTGGGGCAGCGTGGAGCGCTTGCCACACCCTCCACCCTGACTAACACCCTTTTTGTACGTGAAGAAAAATTTGAATCATTTCATGAAGTACAGTTTTCAATGCAACACCGAAATTTAGTTTTGGTAGAATATTATTATGAAGACACCAGTTTTGGTGTTCTGAATGGCAGAAGATAGAGCTAAAATTGAGCAAAGGAAATATTTGTTTAAGCAACATTCAGTTGTCCTCTTTCATTCGTTGATTTTTTTTCTTTACACGCTGTATTAGGCAGTAGTTACTACTAGTGGTTCGAAGGTTTTAATAACAGTTGTTTCCGGAGCCCTCCTATTTCAGGCGCAGTGTGGCATAGTGTGTGGTTTTAGTCGGTTCGATTCCTCACTGTAATAGCAGTGATGACTGGCGGGGCTCAATTCCCTCCTAGCGACCGAGTGTGGTGACAGATTAAGAATACAGAGTGTCACCACCCCTATTCATCCAGTGGGTGTCGTGGGTGCCGACTAAGGGAAAAAACTACGCAGGACAACAGCACTGCAGAGAGAAGGAAATCTTGACACAAACCCCATACCAACCCGTCTGGCCAGCGTGGTATAGTAGGCCAAAACCTCCTTTCTAAGTAGAGGCTTATGTCCAGCTGTGGACTATTACAGGCTGTTGATGACCGAGTGCAGAATCAGCTGTGCTCGGAAATGAACTTCGTCAGTCGGAAGGAAAGGGTAGCGTGATGCCGCCCTGCCTATTGATGACCGGCTGGAGCGCCTCTACCGCTGCAAAGCCAGCATATGGAGCCTCCAGCCGGGACAACCACACACGCCACTGCTCTTATACCTCTTCGAGCGTGGGCCGACTACCGCCACCCACCCGGAACTCAGCCATCCGCAGATATATTAGGTCTTTACCTATGAAGTTGGAGATTCGTATGAAAATTTTTAAACATAAAAATTTTGGTTATTTTTTATTTTAACTAATCAAAGTACTTACTGGCCCAAATTATCTATACAATTATTCCCACTTAAAAAATATACAAAATTTTGATAAAAAGGTAGAAATCAGTGTTAGAGCACGATCCGGCGAGTATGGTTAGTGACGGAGAGCTTCAGGCTGTAACTCTTGCAGCTTTGCGATGGTCTGTCGTGAAGTGTTAGCTCGCGCGTTGTCGTGAAAGCAATGGAGAAGAGCGATTGACCAGTTGTGGTTGTTGAATTGCGAGCTTCTCCATCATTGTTTGCAACCTACTTGGCAATAGACTTCTGCTGTCACTGTTGTGCCATTCGGTAAGAAGCTGAGATGTACAAAACCGGCACTCATCGCAGGTGACAATTCGATTCAGAATTTCCTCGTTTCTATGCTGATTCAGTAGTGCTAAGCATGATTTGACGCGTAAATCTCACTGATGGTCGCTTAGTTCGTGTGGCACCCACTTATCTAGCTTTTTTATTTGTCCGATTTGACGCAAGTGCTTCAATGTTGTTTTGAAACTAACTCATAAGCCCACAGCAAGCTCAGGCGTAGATTAAGTTGGATCCGCTGCCACTATCGCCCTCAATTTGTCGTTGTCTACTATAGTTACCGGCCGACCGCGAAGCTCGTTCTTCAACTAAAATTTCTAGATCTAAAATGATTGAACCAATAATAGTCCGTGTTTATGCAAGCAGTGTTAGGCTAATAAACCTAGGTTATTGTTTTGTGTTGCTTGCGCAACGGTATTTCCACGGAGGAACTCATATTCGAAAATTGTATGAGTTTTCAGTTTATTCATGGCGCCAAAAGCTACCAAAATTCAAAATAAAACATTATTTAAAATTAAAGACTGAATTTTAACTGTTTTTAAAAATCTCAAACTTTATAGGTTTACTTCGTCGAGCACTTCTGCCTCTAAATCGCACGGGGGTGTTTAGACCAACTCGCACCCCGCTCCGTCGACACAGTGAGGTAACCGAGTATGGCTCTAACCTAGAGACCAGAGGCGCGCCCTACTCTGGGCGGTCAGAGCCGCTCTCCCCACCGGTGCACCGTACAGTGCCATTGACCGGACAACCCCCGTGTACAGCCGTCTTGTCACAACGCTGGTTCCACCCAAATTGGGCAAAAGTCACTCAAGGGCAGACGTAGCGCAGAGCAACAGAAAATTTCCTCGAAGGGCCCAGTCGTACCTATGTTTAAAAGGAGGGGCCCAAGACAGCAAGACTAGAGCCAGAACTTGAAACAACCCATCTCTCTTGTCCGGCCAGCGTAGGATAGCAGGAAAAACCTCCTTTCTAAGGCCAATGTTCCATGCTTGTTGCTTCCAAGGCCAGCAGTGGAATATTACAGGCTGTTGATGATGAATACCCTAAACTAAGTAACCTAAAACAATCCAAGGGCCCCTTAATAGAACTTGCTACAGGCCCCGCGCTGGCTTAATCCGGCACTGATCGACCTATTCCTTTTTCTTTAGGTAAACATTTCCAATCCATTTTTCTAAGCTACAACTGCTAACTCGGTCACTCATCCGAAACTAGTTAAGTCTCGTTTTTGCAAAAAAATTGCCATAAAGGTATGGTATCTGAAGCATAACGGTTGATGACCCTATATCAAAGTTTTTTATGATATGGAAGACAAATGAGCAAACAGTATATGGAGCACCTGGTTGGAAGCGACTACCGCCGACACAAGTGCGTTGCCGCCTTTGAATGTCCCCCTTCAGAATTAGGGGTAAGGCTCGGTCCTGCCGGTCCAGGTTTCAAAGTCGAGTCTGCCCATATGTGCAATGTGTGTCCATTACTACTTGTGGTCAATACTTCACTACCAATAATTGTGGTTACATTCGGTTACGGGCGTGTGAAAGCATTTTTTCGACTAACCCAAAGATCACATTATACCTATATTGTTCTGGAAAAGTTTTGAAACCAAACCAACCAACAACATCACACGAAATTGTACTGTAGACATACCTACCTATCGCATGTACCTAGTCGATTTATTCCAATACACCATTTCATGATTAGCCATGAAATATTTCACACGTCGAAAGACAAAGCTAGTTATATATATAGTTATATTAGGAAAATAAATCGCATGTGTATGTGACTTTAAGCTTATGTAACTAAGATACTCAATGACCACAGTATTAGACTATAATAATTCAGACTGGTACCGGGCATAAAAAGGTGTGCCGCTACAAATGCTCTTTGAATCATAATCAGTGTAGGAATATCAATAGCATTGGCTAATTGATATTCCTGTGCATATACAGAATCATAACAGAAAATAGAAAGTGAGTGACCAAGCCCAAGAATTAACATAGAAACAACTATTTTATGATAACGTATAAATTATACTTAACCATAAATAAAAATACAAGGGCAAATTAATATATTGTGCCCCATTTGAAACTGTTGCTTCATTATTTTCTTCTATGTATGTACCTACTTGGTTCAATATTAAAACACTACCAATTGCAACTTGTAGCGGTTTGTTGATTTGTTACAGAGCGAAACATTCCAGCTTCATTTAAATTGCGACTTTTAGGTACTTTTTGATGTTGCATTCTTATCATTACAGATATGAGTGATAGAGAAAAATAATAGGAACGATTTTTAACATGCAGTCAGAAATATATATTATCTATGACCTAAACTTAAAATGTCAAATTTGAATTTCCATCCAAAACGACCAAAACAATCTCTAACTGTGAGCGAGAGTGAAGGATTTTACTTTTTAATAACTAAGTAAATAATGGAAGACTTCGATGTATTTACAAATGAAATTAATTTTACTAAACCTCTTTTCAAGAACATATTAAATAAGTATATTCACGAAGTGCCATCAACTCCTAACGGACCGAACTATCAAAGTAAATATTCCACAAATTATTAACATTTAAAACTTTGTTTACCAAGTTATAAATATATAATAATTTAAGTTTCAAATAGATTCTATAGTCAATAATTAATTCCTTCATATTGAAATTTGACTTTATTTATTAGCTAATTTTTTAAATAAACTTATTTATGGTTTCTTTTAGGTGGTAGAAAATTAATGGCTGAAGAATGTTTAGCTGATAATGATGACATAGGGTGTGCTTTCCATCTTAGTGAAGCAGCTTCTGCTTCATTAAGAACTATGGCTGTTTATCGAGAGGAGCAACTGAGAAGTGCTGGTACTAATATTTAAATATTATTTTCTATATTATATGTATCCATTATTTTCATTTTTAAATCAATTCCAATTTAAGTACGAATATTTTTGTAGAATAGAAAGACTATCGAACTAGAAGTTTGCGGAATGTATGGAATAATGAAAGCTGAGTTTCAGATGTCGCCTTTATATCATAAAATTACCTTCCCAATTTTCCCATCTAATCCCTAAGGAGCCATATCCACTAGATTAGGCTTGCTCCCTACTACTTAAGTGGGTTCAAAAAATCGTTGGTGTTTTAAATACCTATTCAGGGATATGGTATGTACTAGCTGGTACCTGACACTTCGTTCGCATGGAATTTCAAAAGTCTGCAGTCTATGAGGCCACAGGTTAGACTAACAGAGCGGGCAAAATTTTATAGGCTTTTACTGAGAGAAAAAAAAACCTAAGTTATTCTTTATATAGACAGCTACCTGGTAGTAAATTCAGTCCATCCGTTTTGAAGATTAACTGGAATAAACAGACAGAAAAAAAATTAAACTGGTTTAAAGGCATAGGTATCATGCAAATAACCGTGCGAGCATGAAAAAAACCTATTATTTAGACAAACAGGCACTTCAGTTTTATTTATTTGTAAAGATATGTACCATACATTTAAAAGAAGTTTTTGAGAAAAGTGTCACGTTCCTAACAGATTTATTTCCAACACATAATCCATGTCCAGTTACATCAAGACATACATGTTTTACTTATTTTGTCAGATGTCACTATCCATACTAATATTATAAATGCAAAAGTGTGTCTGTCTATCTGTTACATCGGTTTTCGGAACAGAAATCGTTCAAGTCCCAGGAAAGAAGATAGGATAGTTTTTATTCCAGAAATCATGGAAATGATGGAAGTTTCTATAGGGAATCAATAACTGCTGAACACATTTAGATGAAATTTTGTATGGAGATAGTTTGAAACTTGAGGAAAGACATATGCTATTTTTACCATGATAACTGACATACACACGGGCGGAGCCGCGAGCAAAAGCTGGTACAATATAAATTCGTAACCAGTCAGATTAAAAAAAAACAACTTTCTAGAACCCTTCTAAACACACTACCTGCCCTTGTCTTCTAGAGAGTCTTGAGATTTTATGTCTAAGATTTCAGCTTTGCAATATTATTATATATTTTTTTTTTAGAAAACAAGCTCTTCAAGATTACAAGTTATGTAAAACCAATAAAAGATTTGGTGGATGCAAACCCAATGTAAGTATCGCTTTTGAAGTTCTAATTTTGACTTGGTAATGAAGTGTTTAGGTCAGGACCGACTGACATATTGTATGAACCACAGCCTACTAAGCAAAGCTTATGTTATCAGGCCATTGCTACATATTATTATGAAAGACCTAATGAATCTTGCAAGTAATAAAATATACTAACATTTGCCATCGGTTTGCAGATCTTGGCAATTGATTCGAGTACCCCTCTGGGTCAATAAAATATTTATGTAATAGTTCTTTTAAATACATAAATACTTTCATGATAATTGAATTTAATAATTTATTTATTAATCGATGAAGTAATTAGTGTTAAGGTGTAATAAAAAAATAAATAAGTTAATTTTGAGAATGTTAGGATGTAATTTATTTTTTTTATTCTTCAGACCGAAGAAAGATGCGAAACTTATAGCAATGTTATCTAAAGATATAGACAGTATCACTGATACTTTAAAAACTTATGCAATTGAGGAGGAGCTGCCGTTCCACAGAAGATATCTTCGATTCACTAACGAAAATAATGTAGATAATTTTCAGCGAATACTAAAAGAATTGCCTAAAGGTAACACTTTCAAATCACATCACATCACATCAACAGCCTTTAATAGTCCACTGCTGGACGTAGTCCTCTCCTGAGAGAGGAGGTTTTGGCCTACTATACCACGCTGGCTAGTTAGGTTGGTATGGGGTTTGTGTCAAGTTTTCCTTCTCTTAGCAGTGCTATTGTCCTGCTTAGTTTGCTCCCTTAGTTCGCCTCTTACGACACCCACGGGATGAATAGGGGTGGTGACACTCTGTATTCCTAATCCGTCATGACCCAGGTTTTTTAATCTTTTCTTAACACTTTACTAAAAGTAAATAGAACTGACTTCACAAGTTTGTTAAACAAGTTAATATAATAAGTTTGGAAAATGTTGCTTCTATATTTGGTAATCAAAACAGAAGACAACTGAAAGGTGTTTGAAGTCAGTCCTATGAATTAAGTTATATTTTGTAATGCATAAAGATATATTTAATTTAGAATTGATTATTAAATGTGATTTTGATTTCCGTTGATATTCAGGAAAAAATCTTATTTTCAACTGCCCTGGTTTTCTAGCAATTTTAGGTTTTTTCAAAATGAAACATTTGACATTGCAATTACATATTTGACATTATTTATATTTAATTGTTTATGGGCCTGAGCTAAATAGGTTGTTATATTACAAACAAAAAAAAAGACTGCAATTAAAGTAGCATTTCATTTAATTTAGAATGGACTATAATACAACTAACAGTACCATACAATCCAAATGAGAACCTGATGCCCTTGAAGGAATATAGAAAAGACGTAAACTCAATATACGTTAGCATGTTCACTAATGACTACGTAGACAGCAACGCTGCAGGGCCTATCACTGTGCACATACCCTGTAACATCACTAAAGGTAAGGTTTTGAGAATCCTTATATGTTTTTTCCTCACACAACATGAGTATGACCATAAAAGAGCCATGCTTTGCCACATATTGACCGGTTCTACGGAAATAATAATAATAATATATTTATTTATTTTTTATCACAAAAAGTACAGCATTTCAGTAACAATCTTCAAATTTACATAAAGTGATGCAATTACTCCTATATAGTTTCCTTTATACATATGTACTTTTTTGTGAGGAGCAGGAGGATTTAGGTTAAAAACCTGTGCTACAGTTTACCGGGTATTCTGGGGTCTATGAGGGGCGGCAACGTATTTATGTCTCTTGAGTTATAGCTGGCCATGGGTGAACGTATTCATTTAACCAGTCACCTGTCTGCCCGTTTACCCCTATAGTAAAAAAAAAATTAAAAAAAAAATTGAAGTACTTCAACCCTCCGGTTGTTCTTTATCTCGTGGAAACTTCTTCTATCTTGTATTCCTTATTTCTTTTTAAACAATTGAATATTTAAACAAGAATATTCAAATCTCAACGCAAGTTCTCAAACGCAGTTCAAAATGAATTTAAAAAAGTACAGAATGTGTAATTAAGGTTCAACTCAGATTAAAATATAGATCATATCCCATTAAGATTGAGCTTAAAATCGTATGCAAGCGGTATAATGTACTGAGGTAGACAACACAAAAACAATTTTCATTTGTTTTTCTAAATCACTAAAGTCAATGCACAAGGTAGGCGGTTATTGGTCGCGGGTGATGGCACTTGTCTGTTGTTATTATGTAACCTTTTTTTATGAATTAAAAGTAAATTTATTCATTATGCAGTGAGTACCTTATAATGTTAAATTTTCGTGTATTAATTATCAAATAATCAGCTCTACCATTTCTTTAAAGATCTAATTAAATCTGACTTTATAATCATAGACACAAGTTGTTACATGACAGCAATTATAGGTACATTTGTATACAAATGTTAACGGAATAGTATATAGTTCAGCATTATATACAATTCCCAAAATGAATAGGAAGTGTATGATATATTTTATAAAAGAATACGCACTTTTCCTAGGAAATCTATCATCACAATCACATCAACAGCCTATAAAAGTCAACTATAGGAAATTTATACATATTTTAAATATCAGTCGAAAATGTATTATACAGTGGGTACAGCTGCAATAGTTTAGGTTGTTGTTAAATCACCCACATACAAAACTGTGTTTTTTTTTAACATTGTTTTTTCAGTAAAAGCACCCAAATACGGATAAAGCGAAATGTTATGTAAATAGGTACGAAATTTCATTGAAATCGTTAGACGCATCTAATTATTTGGATTGGAAATTTTGTTACGAAATATACATATTTAAATATGCAAGGTTTCTCTTTTGAATTAATTAAATAGATTAGTTTTTAACGTGGGTCACACATTACTATAAAGTTGTTAACTCGTTCAGTTAAGCTAAATGATTAAATTATTAATAATATTGTTTTTTTTTTAATTATATTTATTTGACTGCACGGATGGCGTAGTGGTTCGTACTGCGCTGAGTGTTGTGGGTTCGATCCCCTCATGGGACATCACGTGTGATCCACAAATTGTTGTTCCGAGTCTGGGTGTTCTTTGTGTCCGTGTCATGAATGTTTGTAAAGTCCCATGCGACACAGGATATAATCTTTGAACATTAGATGTCTTTAAAAGAATGAGAACAACAAATATATTAATAAACTATTGTAAAAAATTCCAGAAGGTGAAAAACCTCTATTCACAGAGTTGTATTCTCTATTAGACGAGAATTACCAAACCATAGACAATGCACAGTTTTTGAATAATAAAAGACTTGTGCAGAACTACTGGAGTCGACGCGAAGACATTGACTTACGAATGAAGGTAAACCTGATCATTACTATATTGTATCTTCTCAATATTTCTGAGAAAGGGTCTTGTCCTAGTTTTGAGTATTCTTATTAGTAAGTAATATTTAATCCATGTATAAAATGTTAAGTTGGTTTGTGAACGCTTCAAAAACTCAAAAATTCCTCACCAATTAAGCTCACGATGACACGATATTTAAACCACTTTAAAAATTGTTTTTATAATTTTTTCGCGTCAGTTTTGTTTCTCATTTCTCAATGTGCCAGCAATGGGTACAGCTAGTGTTAAATATATTTTAAGGATGTAAAATTGACCATTATTTTGGCGCCAACTTTTGCTTAATATTGCTATTGACAATACCATTAGAGAATGCGGTTTACGAGTATACCTATTAGCGGGAAATTTTCACATAATTTTGTTTGTCATTTCAATATCGTCTTGTCTTGTTTTTAACTATAAATTTTAATCATAGCGATAAGAAACTGATGACTGTACTAATGGCGTAGTGGTCTAAGCGGTCGCCACGCCGCTCACTACTACGCAGTGTCGTGGGTCCGATCCCGATATGAGACGACACTGTGTGATCCACAACTTGTTGTTCTGAGTCTGGGTGTTCTTTGTATCCGTTTCATGTATGTTTGTAAAGTCCCCCGCGACACTGGGTGGACCTAACGCGGGAGTTATCTTTAAAAAAACTTAAATGAAATATAATTTTCCGGTATACATTTTTTTTAAATACTTGGCACATTATTAGAGTTTACGAGAAAACGATAGATTTAAAATCATATCGATGAACGATAGATTCTGAAAGAACCATCGTTCTCATCATCAGCTCTTAGGAGTTCACTGCTGGACATTGACGTCTCCAATTGCACTCCACTTACATGTATCCTCAGCTTAAAGAAATAAAATAAATACCGACACTAATTATTTACCAACACTCTTTACAAGCACGCTAAGAAACTTTTGCCCAGTCTGCCATTTTCCTTTATGATGGAAGGATAACCATTCTTCTACATTCTTAACATTAATTCGACGACCGAATGGCGTAGTGGTTTGTGTAACGGACTGCTATTCCAAAGGTCGCGGGTTCGATTCCCGCTCAAGTCAAATATAAACATTTAATGATTGATTTGGTCTGGGTGTTTCTATGTATAATAAGTATGTATTTACAAAAAAAATGTATATATGTATTTATATCAGTTGTCTAGTACCCATAGTACAAGCTCTGCTTAGTTTGGGACTGGATGGCGATGTGTGAAAAAAAAAAAAAAAAAAAAAATAGTGTAACACGTGTAATTTAAATAAGGCACGGTTAGTTTGACTCATACATAATATTTATTGTCTAATAAAAACAACATAGTTTCGCGCCAAATAAGAACAACGATCTTATTACAAGTTACCAGACATAGATAGGTCGAATGAGGTCACTTAGGTATTAAACTGATTTGTCCTTCACACAATTGTGCCTGGAGTTACGATCTGTTTTCTGTCTCCAATTTATTTCTGTTATTCGGTCTTAAACCGTCATCATCATCATCAACAGCCTATGATAGTCCACTGCTGGACGGACATAAGCCTCCTTACGGAATGTCACCACCCCTATTCATCCCGTGGGTGTCGTAAGAGCCGACTAAGGGAACAAACTGCACAGGACAACAGCACTGCAAAAAAAAATGAAAACTTGAAACAAACCCTATACCAACCCGTCTGGCCAGCGTGTTATAGTAGGCCAAAACCTCCTTTCTAAGGAGAGGCCTATGTCCAGCAGTGGACTGTTATAGGCTGTTGATGATACCAAGCTGACCAGACGGTTCGGTATACGGTTTGTGTCACGTTTTCCTTCTCTCAAAGCACTCAGACAGTATTCAATTAAAGACGCGTAATAAGAATGTAATGTTCACAGTTTCTATTATAAAATGTATGTGTGTGTGTGTCATTAGCATACATACCTGGCAGACAGGTTGCATGATTACCTAATGATGTCATATTATGTGAACTAACTGTTGGCTATTAGGTATAAAATCTAATAAACGCTTATAACCGTATTAGGTGTACAAAGTAGACCCTGTTTTCCAAACTAGGTATTCCTGTAACTTGGAAGACAGTGTTCCTGACAGTGAACTTACGTTTTAGACATTTATATTGTAACTAGCTGGTCAGCACAACTTCGAATCAAATTTTGCCACTTATTGACATGAAGGTTCACCCTTCAAGTTTTATTTTGTGACAAAAAAAATCTCCAAGGTTTCTCCTATATCTTTGCAATAAATTTCTTTAGTTTATTTCTTATTAGTTCAGCAGTTTAGAGGCTGGTTTGCTGAGTTTTGTCTACAATATTTTCTTGGGAGATCCGATACTCATATATTAGCAAGTAGCTATTGCCCGCGACTTCACTCGCGTGATTATTTCCTATTTCTAACATTGAAAATGACGAAATTCCATCAAACCGTTCATCTCTTATTTCACCCCCTTAGGGGAGAAATTGTCCAAAAACAGCCATGATTTTATATTTATAGATCGATTCTAACCATTTATGGATAGAAGGGCTTGTGGCTAAGTATTATCCGGTAAGGGTCTTAACACATTGGGACCCCTACGTGCCTTGGAGAGCATCTGAGGCAATCGTTACTGGTAGTTAGGGCTCTAAAGAAGTCCGTAAACAGTCTTTCTACAGAACTTCAATATCGCCCACTTGGGTTGTGAAGGTCTGATGGCAGTCGCTCTGTGTAAAAATCGAAGTTTAGCCTCATCGTAATAGACCCAATCCCAAGGACCAAAATAGTTTATAACATTAGACACCCTTGGAATTGTACCCGTAGCCGTACCCGCAATCGTCCACCGTCGTCGTAATCGTTGACTGCACGGATGGCGTAGTGGTTAAAGCGGTCACCACGCCGCTTCCTACTACGCCGAGTGTTGTGGGTTCAAACCCCACATGGGACGACACTTTGTGTGATCCACAAATTGTTGTTCTGAGTCTGGGTGTTATTTGTGTCCGTTTCATGTATGTTTGTAAAGTCCCCCGCGACACAGGATATATTCCTAATGCGGGAGTTGTCTTTTTATCAAATAAAAAATAAAAAAAACCCTTAAACTTGGAAGTGCCATAGCTCCTATATCCCAGGTTTGCCTACATGTTGCTAGCTGTTGGCTACGTTTACCATTTCATTGTAATTTTCAGAGTGTAATAAATGTAATGGACAAGGAATGGCTTGGCGGTTTTAGTTGTTTGCTGACAGGAAAACTGGTAGACTCATGCTTAAGAGACAGGATCATAAAACTAGTTGACAACACTATTTCGGATTGGGGGTGAGATGGATATAAGTTATAGTATAATTAACAGTTTTTTGTGCGGAGATCCCCTTGGATACCCGGATACCCCTCGGATTGTCCCCCCGGGAACTGGTATCCGAGACGGCGTGCGGTTTTTTGGACGGTTCGAGTCCGACATAACCACCGGTGAGTGGTATCCGAGGGGATTTCGAAAGGATTTAGAAAAAAAAAAGAATTAAAAAGCTTCGATGGTTATTCAAAACCCTAAAACATGATACAAGGTACCCTAAGACATACCAGGTGTACCCTAGAAGGGAAATCCCTAGTTCGACAGTATAATTAATCCAAGTTTAGAATAAGTTACAATAAACTTAAATTTTCCAAGTATAAAAGATAAGTTTAATTGTCTAGTAACTTTTTAAATAATCAAATCCATATGGGATTTGATTGGAAAGCATGAACTAACTAAATTTTACTTATAAAATTTAAGTAAGATTTTAATTTTTGAGACAGAGTGAATACTCTGGGCACCGGGGACTTCCTTTCTAGGGTATACCTGGTTCCCCGGCTATTAGTACCCGAGACGGCGTACGGTTTTAGTCGGTTCGAGTCCGACATGCCACCGACAGGTGGTATCCGAGGGGATTTCCGCACGAAAAAAAAAAAAGAGTGAATACTCTATAAAAGGGATCAAAAGAAAATTTGTTTAAAGGGCTCACAAGGAAAAACAAAAACCGGTTTATTATATTTGACACCCTCATGTAAACTAGTCTGAGTCTGTAACTCCTCTCGGTGAGGACTGGACTTAGTCAAGGACGAAAACAGAACGGCCTTATCACATAGAAAGTTCTAAAAGTGCCGTGAACACTCCCGAAACATCTCGTAATCGGGTTATTACTCTACTGTAACTCAACACATTGTTTCAATTCTGGAATTTTCTAACATTTTCTAGAACATACATTTTACAACTTGATTATAACAATATAATAATAAATTAAAATTTTACATTTCAGTTTAATGCGCCTAACACAAAAACAGAAAATCCTACTCTGCAACCTAACAGAATGTTGTCCAGTGTTGCAATCCCAACAAATTAAATCATGTATCAGGAGAATTTTGACGGAGTGTGGCAACACCGAAGACGTTAGACAAATATTTAACTCAGAATGTGGCAATTGTAATAAGGAATTTCGATTTTTGAACGAATTATGTTTGAAATGTTTGTCGAAAAGTTTTGAGAATATACACCATTTCTCTTTGGTGGATGGTATAAGAGCGTTTTCACAGTTAGCCATGTTGGTCAAAGACAATGACGAATGGGCCGCTTTGAAAAAGGCAAAGAGACATCCAGTTATATTGATCGTTGATGATGTAAGTATAATAAAAAGATACGAATTTAAAGTCTGAGTGCTTTGAGAGAAGGAAAACGTGACACAAACCGTATACAGCTACGGTCAGCTTGGTATAGTAAGCCAAAACCTAGTTTCTAAGGAGAGGCTTATGTCCAGCAGTGGACTATTAAAGGCTGTTGATGATGATGATGATGATAATGAACGAATTTAAAATATATCTGAAATAAATCATTATCATTATTATTATAAAAAAATACTTTTATTGAATCGACAGGCAGGCAATTGGTCTGCCTATCCTAAATATGAATGTTTAAGAAATAAACTAGTGAAGAAATAATGCGACTGCACAATGGCGTAGTTGTTTAAGCTGTAGCCACACCATTTTCTACCGCGTTGGGTGTTGTGGGTTCAATACCAACATGGTATAGCACTTTGTGTGATCCACAAATTGTTAACTATTTATACATTATATACTTTTCTTTAATTATATATATAATATAATATATATAATTAAAGAAAAAGTTTTCAAGTTCTCAATTCATTTTCTTGTTATGACAAATTATTAAAAAAACCAACGTCAAAATATATATGTCACATCAACAGCCTTTAATAGTCCACTGCTATACGTGGGCCTCTCCTTTCCAAGTAGAAATATATATATATATATATCATATTTGTATCTTAAACCCAAAAATTAAATAAAAAAAAATAACAAATTAAATATATGTTAATGACTTTTAACAATAAATAATAACTTTTAATAACGCTTATTAATTTTTTTGTTCATGGGCGGCGATGGTCACTTTACATCAGGTGACCCGTCTGCTCGTCTGCCCCCTCTAATATAAAAAAAAAAATCGTTGACTGGTATTCACATTTATTAAGGGTTTTATATGGTATTTCGGTGATTTGGAGTTTTGGACTAAGATTTGTATATCTTATTTTAAAACTACTCCTTTCCAGATGTTAGACACATTCCCGTGGGAAACTTTGCCAGTTTTGAATCATCATCCAGTTTCTAGATTAGAAAACATTCACTTTTTGTACTATTTATACAAAATACACGAGAAAGATGTGAAAGATGGATACTTCACTACTAAATGTGAGATCGGCAGATATGTTATTAATCCAGGTATGTACAGTATTAACTATTATTTTATTATTAACTACTGTTATTATTTAGTTTTAACTATTATGTGGTAAGGTAAATATGTCTTAATATAGTTACTAAAAACTTGCGGAGGGATGAGGAAAATGTGGCGAAGAAAGTTTTAGGTATGAGAGTTGAAGGGTACAAGAGAAGAGGCAGACCGAAGAAGAGGTGGATGGACTGCGTCAGGGAGGATATGGCTAGGAAGGGAGTAAACAGTGAGATGACGCATGACAGAGTAGAATGGAAAAATCATACATACTGCGCCGACCCCAAATAAAATTGGGAAAAGGGTAGGCAGATGATGATGATAGTTACTAAAAACTCTTTCTTTTTTCAAAATGACTTCCCTAACTGCCTCAGCCAGTATTGCAACTCTAGGCATCAAGATATCGAGCGAAGTCCAGTTTCGCGGTCATTTAGAGTGTAAGGTCAAATTGGCCTCGAAGAAGCTCGGTGTGCTGAACAGACCGAGGCAGTATTTCACTTCAGCCTTCACTCTATAAGGCGCAATTCTGACCGCATATGGAATACTGTTCTCATCTCTATGCAGGAGCACCACAGTACCAGCTTCTCCCTCTGGACCGTATCCAAAGAAGAGCGCCTCGAATCGTCGATATCCAAAAAAATTGCGACCGGCTCGATCCCTTGGCGTTACGTAGAGATGTAGCTTCGCTCTGCATTCTCTATCGTATATATCATGGAGAGTGCTCCAAGGAATTGTTCGGACTAATACAGTCTGCAACTTTCTGCCCTCGTTCATCACGGCAAAATTTTCATCCCACCACTTGGATAATTGCCGCTCCACTACTGTGCTCTTTTCTATTCCATAAAAAATGTATGTGGAGGAGAGGGATATATGTCCTTCTACCACGAAGGATAAATCCTCCGACCAAGCCTGGTGAATAAAAAATAACAGTGGCCAGCCGCGAGGCGACACCGAGAGTCATACCCGAAGATGGTGCCCTCGCATTCTTCTCAGCCTATGCTTGTCCACTGCTGGACATAGGCCTCTCCCAATGATTTCCAGCGGGGACGTTTGATTGCGGCCTGTATCCAACGGTTTCCGGCAACCTTTACCAGGTCGTCCGTCCATCGGGTAAGCGGTCGTCCCACACTGCGCTTTCCAGTACGTGGTCTCCATTGGAGAACTTTGCTGCCCCATCGGCCGTCAGTTCTTGCTATGTGCCCTGCTCATTGCCACTTGAGCGCGCTAATCCGTTGGGCTATGTCAACCACCTTTGTTCTCCCTCGCCCTCGCATTGGCCGCATGCAATCCCTTTATAACATGTCATTGTGACATCTCACGTACCATCACATGACCCGTCTGGTTATCGACTACACCATAAAAAAACATATATGAACTTTTAAATGTCTGCTTCGATGGTGCAGTGGTAGCGTATGCGACTACTGTGCTTAGGTCACGGGTTCGATTTCCGGGTCGGACCAAATGTTTGTATGATCTGCAAATATTTGTTTCGGAGTTTATATGTGTAATATGTATGGATTTACAAAAAAAAGTAAATAAGTATTCTATCAGTCAATCTAATTTTCATAGTACAAGCTCTGCTTAGTTTGAAACTAGATAGCGTTGTGTGTCAGATGTCCCAAATATTCTTATCAAATCAAACAAAGTATTCGTAGACTCTTCTACATTTTCTAGACAAACAATATTTTAATTTCAGAGAAGAATCTGGATCGCATGGAGAAACGTATGACATCGTTCGTGAAGTATTGGTGCGACACGTGGAGCGGGCATATTGGAGAACCACCGCCTCCCACTGACTTCATCAAATATATCAGTGATGCACACGTTTTCTTGTAAGTAGTTTTATAATTTATAAAGGGGCGTCCTTAAGTTACGTCACACGTTAAAGGGGGGTCGATGAATTGTGACATTGTGTGTAACAAAGGGTGGGAACTAAAGTTACTTAAAACATGGTAGATTCTTAGTTAAAATAAGTTATTACGGCTATATCATTAAATTTATTATCTTGATGTCCTCCATTATCAATTTAATGTTTTATTTGTTTGATACCTTCAAATTAACATTAAATATGAATGACCTCCTTTCTAAGGAGAGGCTTATGTCCAGCAGTGGACTATTAAAGACTGTTGATGTGATTTGATGAATGATTTGACAATAGCTAGGTACCTATGTAGGTAAAATATATCGGGTCCATCGTTTTGACGCTTAATAAGAAGATACTGATTTGACTGATTGATAGTTCTACCTTATTCATTTAATAAAATAAAAAGAAATCACACTATAATTGGTGAAACCTATTTGATGTAAGGAATGAATAAAATTTGAATACAATTATCAAGAAAAAATATATCTGCGTCGGCGCCTCGTGTCCTGATTGTGATTGTCCTGCGTAAAAGTGAGTTTTCGATATTTCGATTGCAAGGCGCCTGCTGTTTCAGCGCATTGGATGGCGAAGTGTAAGAAAACAATGTTGCTAATATATAACGTTGGCAATACTTTTTATGATTCTATACATATCATGCATATAGTTATATGAATAGAATAGTTTATTTGCCATTAAACGTTGTACATAAGTTGTTTTAGAAGACACAAGTGCTAACGTTTAGTCATAATGACATGCAATTTTTTTCCAATCAACATTACAAATTGCATAAAAATTGTAAAATCTATCAAAAATAGTCACGAACGAAAAAAAATAAAAAAAAAAATATTTAAGCCCTATCGAACATTTCATTCAGTGAATAAAAAGTTTTTGTAAAAAATAAACATTATTGAGAATTATTACACATCGAGTTTTTTGCATACACTCTAAATGTGAAGAAAAGACATAAAATCGCAATGGCTCACAAAAGTTGAACTGTAATTTGCTATTTCGTTATATTCAGGTACTTTTTTACTCGAACTTGAATAAAATAATTTCCCCGGCGAGATTTAAATCAAACGATGTGCGACTGGTATTGTTCGTATACAAGTGTATATCATCATCATCATCAACAGCCTTTAATAGTCCACTGCTGGACATAAGCCTCTCCTTAGAAAGGAGGTTTTGGCCTACTATACCACGCTGGCCAGACGGGTTGGTATAGGGTTTGTGTCAAGTTTTCCTTCTCTCTGCAGTGCTGTTGTTCTGCGTAGTTTTTTCCCTTAGTCGCCTTTTACGACACCCACGGGATGAATAGGGGTGGTGACACTCTGTATTCTTAATCCGTCACCACACGGATCAGTGGACGGACGGACAAGTGTATATATTAAGTCACAACTTTTCACGACCATAATAAGATAATGGAAAAAAAATTCGTTCATGGATTCGTCAAAAAGTTAATATGAATTTTTGTTACAAGACATTACCAATTCCTTGCGTGTTCGGCTCCTACCCAGAAATTGTTCGTCAGTCACTATAGTCCAGATTAGATATTTACACTTACTATAATAGGTATGTGTGAAGTACCTTGCGTGTTCGGCTCCTACCCAGAAATTGTTCGTCAGTCACTATAGTCCAGATTAGATATTTACACTTACTATAATATGTGTGAAGTACCTTGCGTGTTCGGCTCCTACCCAGAAATTGTTCGTCAGTCACTATAGTCCAGATTAGATATTTACACTTACTATAATAGGTATGTGTGAAGTACCTTGCGTGTTCGGCTCCCTACCCAGAAATTGTTCGTCAGTCACTATAGTCCAGATTAGATATTTACACTTACTATAATATGTGTGAAGTATCCTTGCGTGTTCGGCTCCTACCCAGAAATTGTTCGTCAGTCACTATAGTCCAGATTAGATATTTACACTTACTATAATATGTGTGAAGTACCTTGCGTGTTCGGCTCCTACCCAGAAATTGTTCGTCAGTCACTATAGTCCAGATTAGATATTTACACTTACTATAATAGGTATGTGTGAAGTACCTTGCGTGTTCGGCTTCTACCCAGAAATTGTTCGTCAGTCACTATAGTCCAGATTAGATATTTACACTTACTATAATATGTGTGAAGTATCTTGCGTGTTCGGCTCCACCCAGAAATTGTTCGTCAGTCACTATAGTCCAGATTAGATATTTACACTTACTATAATATGTGTGAAGTACCTTGCGTGTTCGGCTCCTACCCAGAAATTGTTCGTCAGTCACTATAGTCCAGATTAGATATTTACACTTACTATAATATGTGTGAAGTACCTTGCGTGTTCGGCTCCTACCCAGAAATTGTTCGTCAGTCACTATAGTCCAGATTAGATATTTACACTTACTATAATATGTGTGAAGTACCTTGCGTGTTCGGCTCCTACCCAGAAATTGTTCGTCAGTCACTATAGTCCAGATTAGATATTTACACTTACTATAATATGTGTGAAGTACCTTGCGTGTTCGGCTCCTACCCAGAAATTGTTCGTCAGTCACTATAGTCCAGATTAGATATTTACACTTACTATAATAGTGTGTGAAGTACCTTGCGTGTTCGGCTCCTACCCAGAAATTGTTCGTCAGTCACTATAGTCCAGATTAGATATTTACACTTACTATAATATGTGTGAAGTACCTTGCGTGTTCGGCTCCACCCAGAAATTGTTCGTCAGTCACTATAGTCCAGATTAGATATTTACACTTACTATAATATGTGTGAAGTACCTTGCGTGTTCGGCTCCTACCCAGAAATTGTTCGTCAGTCACTATAGTCCAGATTAGATATTTACACTTACTATAATATGTGTGAAGTACCTTGCGTGTTCGGCTCCTACCCAGAAATTGTTCGTCAGTCACTATAGTCCAGATTAGATATTTACACTTACTATAATATGTGTGAAGTACCTTGCGTGTTCGGCTCCTGCCCAGAAATTGTTCGTCAGTCACTATAGTCCAGATTAGATATTTACACTTACTATAATATGTGTGAAGTACCTTGCGTGTTCGGCTCCTACCCAGAAATTGTTCGTCAGTCACTATAGTCCAGATTAGATATTTACACTTACTATAATATGTGTGAAGTACCTTGCGTGTTCGGCTCCTGCCCAGAAATTGTTCGTCAGTCACTATAGTCCAGATTAGATATTTACACTTACTATAATATGTGTGAAGTACCTTGCGTGTTCGGCTCCTACCCAGAAATTGTTCGTCAGTCACTATAGTCCAGATTAGATATTTACACTTACTATAATATGTGTGAAGTACCTTGCGTGTTCGGCTCCTACCCAGAAATTGTTCGCTCTATCCAAATTTTCATTACTATTTAAATTCTTCTTAAGATTGGTTTCCCCCTTTTTTTTCCCCCCAATTTTTAGAATTAACCCTTTTTTTTTTTGTTTTTGGGGGGGTTTTTTTTGCCCAAAAAATTTTTTTTAAATTTTTTTTTTGGGGGGTTTCCCCCCTTTTTCCCCCCAAAATTTGGGTTTAAATTTTCCGATTTTTTTTTTTCCCCTTTTTTGGGGTTTGGAAAACCCTTTTTGGGCCCCCAAAATTTTTTCCCCAAAAAAATTTTTTTTTTTTTTGGGTTTCCCGGGCCCCCCAAAATTTTTTTTTCCCTTTTTTTTTTTTAAAAAAATTTGGTTTTTCCCCCCCGGGTTTTTCCCCCCAAAAAATTTTTAGAAAACCCCCAAAATTTTAAAATTTCCCCCCTTTTTTTTAAAATTTTCGTTTTTCCCCCTTTTTTTAACCCAAAAAATTGGGTTGGGAAAAAAATTTTTTTTTTAAAAATTTTTGGTTCCCCCAAAAAAAAAACCAAAAAATTTTAAATTTTTTTTTTTTTTTTTCCCCCCAAATTTTTAGTTTTTTTAAAATTAATATTTTTTTTGGGTTTGGGGCCCCCTTTGTTTTCCTAAAAAAACCCACTTTTTTTTAAATTTCCCTTGGGTTTAAAAAATTTTTTTTTTGGGGTTTTTCCCCCAAAATTTTTTTAAAAATTTTAAAAAAGGGGGCCCCAAAAAAGGGGAAATTTCTTTTTTCCCCAAATTGTTTTAAAAAAAATTTTTTAAAATTTTTTTTGGTTTTTAAAAAAATTTTCGTTTTTTTTCCCCAAAAATTTTTTTTTTGGGTTTTTTCCCCTTTTTTTTAAAAAGGTTTTTAAAATTTAAATTTTTTCCCATTTTAAAAAAAAATTTTTAAATTTTTTTTTAAAAAAAAAATTTGGGTTTTGGCCCCCTTTCCCAGAAATTTTTCCATTACAAAAATTTTTGGAAAAAAAAAATTTTTTTTGGTTAAAAATTTTTTCCCCGGCCAAAAATTTTTTTTTTAAAAAAATTTTTTAAATTTTTCCCCTTTTTTTTTTTTTTTTAAAAAAAAAAATTTTTTTAAAAAATTTTGGGGTTTTTTTTTTTAAAAATTTTTTTTCCCCCCCCCCCCAAAAAAAATTTTCCAAATTTTTTTAAATTTTTTTTTAAAGGAAATTTTGGGGGTTTTTTCCCCCCCAAAAAATTTTTAAAAAAAAAAATTTTTTTTTAATTTTTTTTTTTTAAAAATTTTTTCCCCCCCCCTTTTTTGTTTTCCCTTTTTTTAAAATTTTCCCTTTTTTTTAAAAAGGGGTTTTTTTTAAAAAAATTTTTTTCCCCCCTTTTTTTTAAAAAATTTTTTTTTTTTAAAAATTTTTTTTTTCCCCCCCAAAAATTTTTCCCCCCTTTTAAAATTTTTTTTTTTCCCCCCCAAAAAATTTGGGTTTTTTTTAAAACCCAAAATTTTTTTTTTAAAAATTTAAAGGGGGAAAAAAAAATTTTTTTAAAAAAAAAGGGAATTTTGGGTCCCCCCAAAAATTTTTTAACCCGGGGTTGGTTTTAAATTTTTTTTTCCCAAATTTTTTCCCCTTTAAAATTTTTTTAAAAAAAAAATTTTTTTAAAAATTTTTTTTTCCCCTTTTTCCTTTTAAAAATTTTAAAAATTTTTTAAAATTTTTTTTTCCTTCCAAAAAAGGGGGCCCCTTTCCCCCAAAAAATTTTCCAATTACTAAAATTTTAATATTTTTTGGGGGAAAAAAAACCTTTTTTTAAAAAAATTTTTTTTAAATTAAATAAAAGTTTTTTTTTTTTGGAATTGGTTTTTTTAAAAAAAAATTTTTTTTTTTAAAAAAGGGGGGGTTTTTTTTTTTTTAAAAATTTTTTTTTTTTTAAAAAATTTTCCGGTTTTTTCCCCCTTTTTTTTTGGGGAAAATATTTTTTTTTTTTTAAAAATTTTTTTTGGGGGAAAATTTTTTGTTTTAAAAATTTTTTTAAACCCGGTTTTTTTCCCCCAAAATTTTTGGGGGGGCCCGGTTGGTTTTCCCAAATTTTTTGGAAAATTTCCTTGGTTTTCCCAAAAATTTTGGTTTTGGGCCCGGTTTTTTTTCCCCCAAAATTTTTGGGTTTCCTTTTTTCCGGTTAAAAATTTTAAAAATTCCTTTTTTTTTCCCCCCAAAATTTTTTTGGGGGGGGGGTTTTTCCCAAAAAATTTTTCCCCTTTTTCCCCCCCCCCCAAAAAAAGGGAAAAAAAAAAAGGGGGGGTTTGGGAAAAAAAATTTTTAAAAAAAGGGTAAGTTTTTTTTCCCCCCAAAAATTTTTAAATTTTTCCCCCAAAAAATTTTTTTTTTTAAAAAAAAGGGGGGTTTTTTTTTTAAAAAAAGGTTTTTCCCTTTTCCCCTTTAAAATTTTTTTTTATTTTTTTTTTTTTAAAAAAAATTTTTTTTTTCCCCCAAAAATTTTTTATAATTAATTTTAATATTTTTTTTTTAAAAATTTTGGGGGTTTTTTTTTTTCAAAATAAATTTAAAAAATTTTTTTTTTAAAAGGGGCCCTTTTTTAAAAATTTTTTTAAAAACCCTTTTTTTTCCCCCCTTTCCCAAAATTTTTGGGCCCCTTTTTTTTTTTAAAAAAAATTTTTTTTAAAAAATTTTAAAATTGGGGTTGGGGTTTTTTTTTTTTTTTAAAAAAAATTGGGTTTGGCCCCCCAAAAATTTTTTTTTAAGTCCCCTTTTTGGTTTTAAAAAAAATTTTGGAAATTTTTCCCGGGGGGTTTTCCCCAAAATTTTTTTTTTGGGGTTTTTTTTTTTTTTTAAAAAATTTTGGGTTTTCCCCCCAAAATTTTTAAACCCCCTTTTTTAAAATTTTTAAAAAATTTTTTTTTAAAAAAAAATTTTTTTTCCCCTTCCCCAAAATTTTGAAAACCCTTTTTTCCCGGTTAAAAATTTTTTTTTTAAAAAAATTTTTTTCCCCCCCCAAAATTTTTGGGCCCTTTTTTTTTTAAAAATTTCCAAAAGGGGGTTTTTTCCCCCCCCGGGGGTTTTCCTTTTTCCAAAAATTTTTTTTTTAAAAAAAGGGAAAAATTTTTCCCCTTTTAAAAAAATTGTTTCCTTTTTTTTTTAAAAAAAATTTTTTTTTTTGGGGGGGTTTTTTTCCTTCAAAAAATTTTTGGTTTTCCCCCCCAAAAATTTTTTTTTAAAATATTTAAAAATTTTTTTTAAAAAAATTTTTTTTCCCCTTTTTTTTTAAAAAATTTTTCCAAATTTTTAAATTTTTTTTTTTAAAAAATTTTTTTTCCCCGGGCCCCCAAAAAAACCCTTTTTTGGGGGTTTTTTCCTTCCAAAAAAGGGGGGCCTTTTTTTTAAAAACCCCCCTTTTTTAAAAACCCTTTTTTTACCCCCCAAATTTTTAAAAAAACCCCCTTTTTTCCCCCCAAAAGGTTTTTTTAAAATTGGGTTTTTTAAAAATTTTTTTTTTCCCCCCCCCCCCAAAAAAAATTTTTTTTTTTGGGGGGTTTTTTCCCCCAAATTTTTTTAAGTCCTTTTTTGGGGTTTTTTTTTTTTTAAACCTTTTTTTTTCCCCCCCAAAAAAAAAGGAAAACCCCGGGGGGGTTTTTTTTTTTTTTAAACCCTTTTTTTTTCCCCCAAAATTTTTTTTTGGGGAAAAATTCCTTTTTTCCCCCCAGAAATTGTTCGTCAGTCACTATAGTCCAGATTAGATATTTACACTTACTATAATATGTGTGAAGTACCTTGCGTGTTCGGCTCCTACCCAGAAATTGTTCGTCAGTCACTATAGTCCAGATTAGATATTTACACTTACTATAATATGTGTGAAGTACCTTGCGTGTTCGGCTCCTACCCAGAAATTGTTCGTCAGTCACTATAGTCCAGATTAGATATTTACACTTACTATAATATGTGTGAAGTACCTTGCGTGTTCGGCTCCTACCCAGAAATTGTTCGTCAGTCACTATAGTCCAGATTAGATATTTACACTTACTATAATAGTATGTGTGAAGTACCTTGCGTGTTCGGCTCCTACCCAGAAATTGTTCGTCAGTCACTATAGTCCAGATTAGATATTTACACTTACTATAATATGTGAAGTACCTTGCGTGTTCGGCTTCCTACCCAGAAATTGTTCGTCAGTCACTATAGTCCAGATTAGATATTTACACTTACTATAATATGTGTGAAGTACCTTGCGTGTTCGGCTCCTACCCAGAAATTGTTCGTCAGTCACTATAGTCCAGATTAGATATTTACACTTACTATAATATGTGTGTGAAGTACCTTGCGTGTTCGGCTCCTACCCAGAAATTGTTCGTCAGTCACTATAGTCCAGATTAGATATTTACACTTACTATAATATGTGTGAAGTACCTTGCGTGTTCGGCTCCTACCCAGAAATTGTTCGTCAGTCACTATAGTCCAGATTAGATATTTACACTTACTATAATATGTGTGAAGTACCTTGCGTGTTCGGCTCCTACCCAGAAATTGTTCGTCAGTCACTATAGTCCAGATTAGATATTTACACTTACTATAATATGTGTGAAGTACCTTGCGTGTTCGGCTCCTACCCAGAAATTGTTCGTCAGTCACTATAGTCCAGATTAGATATTTACACTTACTATAATATGTGTGAAGTACCTTGCGTGTTCGGCTCCTACCCAGAAATTGTTCGTCAGTCACTATAGTCCAGATTAGATATTTACACTTACTATAATATGTGTGAAGTACCTTGCGTGTTCGGCTCCTACCCAGAAATTGGTTCGTCAGTCACTATAGTCCAGATTAGATATTTACACTTACTATAATATGTGTGAAGTACCTTGCGTGTTCGGCTCCTACCCAGAAATTGTTCGTCAGTCACTATAGTCCAGATTAGATATTTACACTTACTATAATATATGTGTGAAGTACCTTGCGTGTTCGGCTCCTACCCAGAAATTGTTCGTCAGTCACTATAGTCCAGATTAGATATTTACACTTACTATAATATGTGTGAAGTACCTTGCGTGTTCGGCTCCTACCCAGAAATTGTTCGTCAGTCACTATAGTCCAGATTAGATATTTACACTTACTATAATATGTGTGAAGTACCTTGCGTGTTCGGCTCCTACCCAGAAATTGTTCGTCAGTCACTATAGTCCAGATTAGATATTTACACTTACTATAATATGTGTGAAGTACCCTTGCGTGTTCGGCTCCTACCCAGAAATTGTTCGTCAGTCACTATAGTCCAGATTAGATATTTACACTTACTATAATATGTGTGAAGTACCTTGCGTGTTCGGCTCCTACCCAGAAATTGTTCGTCAGTCACTATAGTCCAGATTAGATATTTACACTTACTATAATATGTTTGAAGTACCTTGCGTGTTCGGCTCCTGCCCAGAAATTGTTCGTCAGTCACTATAGTCCAGATTAGATATTTACACTTACTATAATATGTGTGAAGTACCTTGCGTGTTCGGCTCCTGCCCAGAAATTGTTCGTCAGTCACTATAGTCCAGATTAGATATTTACACTTACTATAATATGTTTGAAGTACTTTGCGTGTTCGGCTCCTGCCCAGAAATTGTTCGTCAGTCACTATAGTCCAGATTAGTTATTTACACTTACTATAATATGTGTGAAGTACCTTGCGACACAGTTCATACTTTATATTTTATTTCAACTGTTTTTTAAGTTTTTAATAAGATGACTCCTCCTTTAGGAATATATTGCTGGAGATTTTATAAACATACCTGAAACGGAAATAAAGAACACTCAGACTTAGAACAACAATTTGTCGATTGCACGAAGTGTTGTTCCATGTGGTGATCGGACCCATAAAACCCAGTGTAGTAGTGAGTGGCGGGGCGACCGCTTACACTTCTGTGTCATCCGTGCGGTCAAACTATGTGTGAAGTCTCTCGCGATGTAGGATATATACCTACTTAGTGCAAACTGAAGACAATTTTTTGTAATAAAAGTTTGGTCACAATTCAGTTCCGATTTCACAACTGTCACAAACGATATGTTCGTAGTAAAATACAATTCGGTTACAATACGATATAATCACATTACTTCCGACGTTGGATGTTTAATACTTCACTACGTAAATTCCTTTCATGACAGTTGAAAGACCGAGTTTTTACTACGAGAATAGGTGTTCCGTTCGCTCATGTGTAGTGTTTTGACCAGGTACTGCGGGCATGGCGACGGGTGCCAGCTGGCGGCGGGCGGCGGCGCGGGGGTGGAGGGCGCGGGCGGTCGCGCGCTGGTGGTGCTGGCGGGCTGCAGCTCCGTGCGCCGCAGCGCGCCCGCGCCCCGCGCCCCGCACCGCGCCGCGCACCTGCACCTGCACGTGGCGGGCTGGTACGTGTAGTGTGTAGTGGTCCCCAGGTACTGCGGGCCGGCGCGCGCTGGTGGTGCTGGCGGGCTGCAGCTCCGTGCGCCGCAGCGCGCCCGCGCCCCGCGCCCCGCACCGCGCCGCGCACCTGCACCTGCACGTGGCGGGCTGGTACGTGTAGTGTGTAGTGGTCCCCAGGTACTGCGGGCCGGCGCGCGCTGGTGGTGCTGGCGGGCTGCAGCTCCGTGCGCCGCAGCGCGCCCGCGCCCCGCGCCCCGCACCGCGCCGCGCACCTGCACCTGCACGTGGCGGGCTGGTACGTGTAGTGTGTAGTGGTCCCCAGGTACTGCGGGCCGGCGCGCGCTGGTGGTGCTGGCGGGCTGCATATATTCGTAACAAGCGAAGAGAATAGATAGATAGAGGAAAACATTTTAAAAGAAATAACTTGCGCCTGATTCGCGACATAATATATATTATATTATGTCGCGAATCAGGCTCAAAATTCGTGCAACGATTTTGCATAATTATTTTTGGAGTAAAAGTGTATTGTTAGCGTATAACTACTCGTAATTGCTGCTCCATCAATAGACAGCAATTTACAACGTTTTTCTTTATGTACTTACCAATATACTTCTTCCAGTCCAACAGTGGTGGGGATGCTGTGGGAGGTGACAGACTTGGAAGTGGATAAGGTAATCAGTACTCTGATGTCCCTGTGTGTACCGTCCAACGCGACTCTGCCATGGCCCAGTGTGGGGAAGGCTAAGTGGAGCCAAGGTGTTCTGGGTAAGTAAACAAGTGAGAAATTTATGTTTGTACAATTATTTATAACAGTTAATTAACCGGCTCCATGGATTTAAGTGAACCAAAGGTATATTTTGCACAAAAATATGGCTCAAAAATTTAAGTGTCAGCGTTCAATCTAAGTAAATAAATTTTAATTTACGCCACGAGCAATAGATGGCGTTGTTCCCGTCGGCTGAATAGCAATGTTAAAATTCTCCGGCCTTAGTATGTTAGCTTGCGAATAAATACATTTTTTGTGAATCGTACCTAATCGTAGCTAATTATTCTAACAGGCACATTAAATAAAACGCATAAAGAGAGATTAACGCCTGATTTATTAGTATGTACTCGTACAGTACTGTTCGTTATTTGAGTTTATACTATGTCTCCCCTGACGCGTTTCTTATAGGATTCGATAGATGGCGTTGAATCAATCATCTAAGTCGCGCTAGAGTTTGTTACCACTCATATTATATAGGGTAAATAAAATTATGTTATTCACGATTCAGAACTCAGTAAAATTTAGCAACATAGTTCTAGTGTTTTAGTGTGAGTCATACCCGGCAGAAATCCTGGAATCGTGTTCAGTACTGTTATTTTTTCTTGTGAAATTTTACACTTTAACTGTGAAGCAATATGGCAGTTAAACTATTATAAGTTATTTTTATAAAGTCAAAAAACAGAATTTTACTTTATATTTATAAAAATGTTAAGTTGATTTGTGTATGATTCAAAAACTCAAAAAGTACTTCAGCTCAAATTTTGACACGACTTACAACCCGCTGGTTTTTTGTCTATTTTTTCGAGTCAGTTTTGAGTTCTGTTCCTCATTCCACATCAAAGCAACCACAATGAAGGACAGCCACAACGAAGCGTGGCACGGTACAGCTACGTATTATAATTACATTATTTTAGCTCTAGAATTCGTAGTATAGGCTATTCTTAGATTAGATCTAGATAACGTTACGTATTAGGTCCCAGATTAATATAATTATTAATTAAAATGTGGTTTCAGAGACGGCAGTGGAACAAAAAGCGTCATTCATCCCGGAGCGGGACGTGCTCCGCGCTATATGTCGCGCCCGCGGCTCCACCAACTACGTCATGATCGCGAGCAGTGTAGTCGCCAGGGGACTGCCGTTTAGGATACTAGAGTAACATACGTACATATATATAAATAAAATATAAGAAACTGTTCAGTTATTTTATTTGCCGTACATCGTTTTTCTTAGACACGAAAAATATTTTTCATTCCATGTGTTCTTCACGGGCCGAGTGTGGGTTCATTCGATTCGTGTTGGATAATTGTATCCGAGATTCGGGTTCATGTGGAAGGAAGAACACTCTTGTTGCAGCTTTAACTATTTTACTCATTAAAAATTGTAAAGGTATAATTGTAAAAATATATTCGTGGGTACACTACATAAATACGAAAAACTTTATTCCGTCAGTCACAAACCTGAATTTCAAAATACTGATTTTCATAATTCCGAAATGGTTCAAAATTCCTAATATAATAACTCCGATTGATCATTCATCCCGTTTTTATAATTCAAAGTTTTAATATTCCTAACGTTTATATTTACTATGCTCAAAATACCAAGTTTTAATAGATCGAATAACAAAAAGTACGACTTAACGATAATTTGAAATATCAAGAATTAGAATACTTTCTACGTTCTTTCGAATGAAAATATATTTTTTTACTGTTCACAGTTCTAACCTAACCCAAGAATTCAATAACAGTAGATGGTGTCCATCAACAGCCTAAAATAGTCCATGGACATAGCCTCTCCTTAGAAAGGAGGTTTTGGCCTACTATACCACGCTGGCCAGACGGGTTGGTATAGGGTTTGTTTCAAGTTTTCCTTCTCTTTACAGTGCTATTTTCATGCGTAGTTTGCTCCCTTAGTCGGCTCTTACAATACCCACGGGATGAATAGGGGTGGTCACACTCCGTATTCTTAATCCGTCACCATACGGGCTGAGGGTATGGTACCCGATGCAGGTATATTTAAGGAGAAGAAAACACAAAAAATATCAAAACACAAATATTAATCGGCTCAGGCGCCGGATGTCGTTAAACTAGGTTACACCTGATCCCCTTCTACTGGTATCCAAGACGACGTGCGGTTCAGTCGGTTCAAGTTCGACATAATCACACCACCGGACGTCCGGTGGGGTATGCGAAGAGGGATTTCGGCACGGAAAAAATACGACAATCGGCATTGCACGTTCTATGTTTCTATGTGTGTCATAAAAGTAATCGGTGTGCGTAGTGTTGAGCTGCCGGCCAGGTACGGCCCTAGGCCTGCACGAGTCGCTGCCTCGCCTCCTGCGCGGCTCGCGCGCGTCGGCGCCGGGTCGAGGGCGGGGTGCGCTCCTTGCTCTCCAACTGACGTTGGATGGCCTGCCGACATTAAGCGGACAATTAAGATGACAATGTTGAATGTAGGAAGAAAGACAGGACTGATTAGTAAACCGCCTAAATACTTCAATTACACGGATGGCTTAGTGGTTCTCCCTCCCTGGTAAAGGATAATATCTTTTAAAATTGTGGCGATTAAAGAAAAAAAAGGATATCAATAATTTCTGTCTATGGCTATTTTGTTCTTTTTGTCGTTCTGAAGAGTGAGAGACATATCCCAATAATGACTTTATTACCTCGTCCATTCGTATAACTTCAATAATTTCCAGGATCTTCTTTTCCAAGCTCTTGATGTAGAGGCGTGCGTTAGTGACGTTGATTTCAAAGGGCCTCCCCAGTAATTTTAGTAGGGGAAGAGAATCGCAGTCGGAAGACCTGGAAAGATTCATTTATGAAAGTTTTCACCAGGTTTTACTGGTCTCAGCGGCAATTTATTCAAAGGTACTTAGAATACTTAGAATATTCCTATACATGGTCCGTTATATTATGTAAAAAATATTGGAAAAATACCTCAAGACCTATTCTGTACCCTGGCTGTGACATCAATCACTACCACAAACCACATGATCTTTCTTTCTTCTTTTATGATCTTTATAAATCTGGCATAGGTTTTCCATGTATTTTCCATCGGACGGGTTTAGACGGAAAAACGTATGGTTTAAGTCGGTTTGATTCCGATCAACCATTTGACAGCTGGCAGCAGTGTTTAAAAAAAAATGGTACCATCTATGCCTACTACTATGTCTATGGTACTTACAGAGCCAAATCATAGATTTGTTGCAGTAGATTAGCCAACACTTGGGAACTTTTTTCACAGGTGTTCCGTGCGCTGTCGTTTGCTTGTCTCTTTCCTTCCAGAGTGTTCTTGAGAGATTCGATACTGTCCTGCTGTTTGTACAATTTGGCCTGATGTTTGATGTTTTCTTCCTCTATAGGATAAACCAAAAGTATTAAAAATTGTTAGTAGATAATACTATAAGCTAATATTAATTATGGTATTCTCTTAAATCTATACATGCATATGTCTTCATCATCATCAGCCTATCGCAGTCCACTGCTGGACATAGGCCTCTCCCATTGCACGCCAGTTAGATCGATTTTGGGCTTCATATATGTCATATGTCTTACCATAGACAAAATATAGCGCATTGTTAACCTATTTATAAGGTCTCCATTTTGGGTCTACCCAGGTTTTGCAACTGAAATTAATTTGATTCTGATTCTAATGGGTCAGAACTACGCATCAGAAGTATGGGCCTGCCACAGACACTGAAGGTAGATTAATTCAATAGTAGAAGGGTTCGAAACTATGTAGGGTGTCCTTTTAATACACACGTAAGTGAAACCGTGTATTTTATAAATGTGAAGAACTGTTTTGATGACCAACATCGAATGCCCTCCGCATTCGTCAGAAGGACTGTCGGCGTGGCGACGCATGAAATATACAAGTGTATTTATCAGCAGTCTGGTTACCATAGCGTAGACTCTGCCTAGTCCGGGATCAGACGGTCGTGTGTGAAATGTGTCAAATAATTATAATAATTATTAACATACCAATACTATCTTTCAGCATTTTAACGCTATCGCTTAAATTTTTAAGCTCAGTGTTAACTTCGTTGATATAGTTGAAAAGAGCATAGTTCTCCTCCTCACGACGAGTAAACTCCTGGATCAGCTTGTCTACATCCTCTTCTCCGGCAAACTCCTACATTAGACCAAATTACAATTACACTATGCTATAACGAATACCTTAAACTACAAAATACATTAAAAATATGAACTCACGCACACATAAATAAATGTAGTTTTTATCAAGTAATAAACCGCATTTTAAATAAAATTATAACTATATGATTTTAATGACGAAAATTCCTTTTCGCTTCTTGTAGCTGATCTCGTGAGAAAGCCAGAAAGAGGACAGTGGAACTTTATAATGGCTATTTGTAACCCTTTTGAGGGTTCATATGATTCGTTTTGTCTACTCCGACTTAGTAACGTTGGTTTGATGATGGAATCAAGAGGTAGATACTGCATTTGTTTTTCATTTTTAAATTATTTTTTTTTGCCATTAGATTTTAACTAAACTTTAATAAGTTTAAAATAGTTATTTTAAAATTTATTTTACCCTTATAGCATCCAATATATTGACGTAATTATTATACGCTCTCATTTCTTCCTCCTGCTGTTCAAGTTTCTTGGCTTCCGCCTTGGCGTCAGCAGCTGTGAGCCTTACAGTGCCCTTAGTGCGAAGAAACTCTTCGAGTTTCATGCTGTGGTCCAGCTGGCGTTGCAGTTCGCGTACTTCCTGGTATGAAAAACAACAAACAAACGGACGAAAACCAACTTTAAAACAATTGTTTAATTGTTGAAAGAAAAGCTTTTATAGTACGGCAGCAAAAAAGTATGTAATAAAATACACAGGACTTTAATTTTAAAATAAAAAAAGTTCTATAGCGTGGTACAGTAGGCCAAAACCTCCTTTCTAAGGAGAGGCCTATGTGATGACGTGTAAAAGTTACCAAACAATGTTTTCTGTAGTCCATCGCTGACTTCTCCTTGAGCGCATCAAGCTTCGAGCACCACTCCTCGCGTTGGTCGTACGTCGTGATAGCTTGCTCTAGCAATTCGATGATCATGGCCTTGCCATCCATGAGTCGTTTAATTTGATTCTTCCAAAGATTGTTGAAGAATTGACTGGAAAAAAATGCAATAAGAAATTCTTTGTACAAATAGAAGATACATTAATATTTGTTTAATTTATCTGAAATGCACGAATGAAACGTGGCAAAACTTTTTTTGCGTATTTAAGGTGTCACAAAAAGCCATCAGTGATGTAAAACAATTGCAATTTCAGGAAAATATTGACAATTGGTAGTATAAATTTGAGAATGACCGTTAAAGCCAATATTTTGTAAGCGGGAGGAATAATTCAAACTAGAGGTGATTAATACGAAGATAATTTAAATTGATATAAAATTTAAATGGAGAAAATGGGAAATTAAGGCTGGAACTCGTTCAAATTCCACATTCAAAATAAAAAAAAATTGCAGATGTCACTTACCGATCTCGAAGGAGTCTGTCTATCTCCACCCTCACTGCGTAATTTTCGCTGTTGACAGTATTAAACTTCTTCATGGCCGTATCCAAGCGGTTTTCCAGTTGACTGATCACCATTTGATTGTTAAGGGCATTGATGGTGTCCTGAATGAATAGTTTTTATTTAAGCGATCGTGGCCGTTTTAGTGCCTTCTCCAGTGACAGGGCTAACAGGTACTTACTATAGCCTTAGTCTCGTCTCCCCGTTTAAGATTTGCGGTATCCCTTACCCCTTACTGTTTGAGGAAGATATCCACTTGGATCAGATTCGCCGCCGGTGAACCGGAGATTATTGTTTGTCTGTTTGTACTTTATTTAATTACTACCTACTTTACCTTATTACTACCTTATCAGGATGTTCTAGGAATTCTATAACTTAACCCTATATTACCACCTAAATGAAGAGCACTAATTGCTTAATATATAAATATACAGAAAGCGATTTTGTTGTATTTTGAAATTTCGATTTCTATGCCAGAGACCAAAAATTATTTAAAAATCCATAACTCCTGAAGTGAAAAAACTGGAAATAGTGTGTCATTAACTTTTATCGTCATAGAACCATAGACCATTCCACGGGGATTTTTCTGATTAATTAAATACTAGTAGGTAAGTTTTATTACATTTAGGCCAATTACCGAGATACGACATTGTCACTTTCTGCTGTCGTTGTGTAATACTACGGTACCATGAAGAGTACACACCTAACCTCTCAATAAATATTCAAAGTAATAAAAATTCTATCGACTCTTACCGTATCAAGCGCCGTGCCTTTAGATCTTAACACTTTAATCTCTTTCTGAACTTGTTTCAGCAAGAAATCCAGCTCTTTGATAGTGCCTCTGTGTTCTTTTACTTCTGTCGCGAACTTCTCGTGCTCTTTCAGAAGAGCTATCAGTTTCTCCCGCGTATTAGAGTTCTTTAGGAGGTTTGTAGTGCTTTTTGTAAACTGGAAGAATAAAGGAACAGTAACCTTTATCCTGATCTCAGCCGAAAGGAGTTAAAACAAAGTCTGGAGAAATATTAAGACAGTATTTAATTATGAAGATTTTAAGCGGTTTGAATTTTACCTTTAAAGCTATACCTATTAGACAGTGACAGTTTCTCGTGCTTTCTTATTACTTAGCGATTTTTTTTATTAAAAAAAAAAAAGCGTTGGGTGCCTGTTGTCAATAGTAAAAAGCACCCCACGCTTTTTTTCAAATTAATTAAAATTTATTTTCTATTTTTTAGTTTGGTTTTTCTATAAAAAGCGTGTTTTTTAGTTTTTTAAAACTATTATTTTTTAATAAAAAAATAATAAATTAGTGTATTGTCATCGGTCCTCGATATATCTACAAAGTTTGAACGGATTATGACCGTTTAAATTCAGTCAAAATCACGCACAAAGGAGTCGATTACAAACATACAAACAAACATACAAGTGAAGCTAATATAAAGCGTGTAAATACTAATATTCTAATTAAGAACTAAGTAACTACTAGTGGTAATAGGTCTTCGCAGTTTAGTGGTACAGGAATAAATGAACAGACCTTTAATTCCAACATGATTTTCTCAAGATCACTGTTAAGTGAGTTGATGATGTTTTTCTGCATCCTGAGCGTAGGCTGCACGCTCGTCATTACCGTGGCTCGGTCTATCTCCATTACTCTGAACTGGAATATGAATTTTACATTATGTGTAGATCATGTAAATACTAATATATCTTATATATAAAATTCTCGTGTCACAATGTTCGTTCCCGTACTCCTCCGAAACGGCTGGACCGATTTTTATGAAATTTTGTGTGCACATCGGGTAGGTCTGAGCATCGGCCAACATCTATTTTTCATACCCCTAAATGGTAAGGGTGACCCATCCCTAATTTTTTTTTGTTTTACAATACAACGTTTGCCGGGTCAGCTGGTATATAATTAACATACATTCTGGCAATAAACGGATTTGATTTGCTTTGATTTGAATGGTCAGTTTTTGTTGCTTCTGTTCCTTACTATAGAATGAGTTGCAGTCTCAGTTCCCAAAAAAAAAAAATTTAATAAGAAAAAAAAAATGGGAAATCGTTCGCTGTTTTTAAGTAAATATTAAAAATTGGAAAATATAGGCATGATAATAGTCTTTGAAACCAAGTAATAAAAATAAAAATATTTTTAAGTTAATTAATTCAAAATGTCAAAAAACCGTTTCATTTAAGTATGAACAAAATAATGTAAAAAATACTACTTTCTTAATTGAATAGATGCAAATAGAGATGCGCCTTTTAAATCTTAAACGTTTTTTGGTGTACCTTTAGTTTAAGTATTTGTGTGGAAATCTGTATTTTAAACAGTTGCATTTGGTTATATATATATATATATTTAATAATACAAACTCCCGTACTAGGAATAAATCCTGTGTCGCAGGAGACTTTACAAACATACATGAAACGGACACAAAGTACACCCAGACTCAGAACAACAATTTGTGGATCACACAAAGTGTCGTCCCATGTGGGGTTTGAACCCACAACAGTCGGCGCAGTAGGAAGCGCCGTGGCGACCGCTTAAACCTCTACGCCATCTGTGCATCCGCCATATGCGCCTCTTTACTTAAGTATTCAAAACTATGAAGATAATCCTAGCCTAAGAATAAAGATACGTTTTTTTTCCATTAATTGTTTAATGTGACTTATTAACCTGAAAATAGATTTAATTACTGTATATTTTCCGTTTAAATCCTCTAATGATTATGCTAAGCAATAAAATAGATTAGATAAAGATACATTGTTTTAACCCTCCATTCCGTGTTTTTTTTTCGTACATGTGCTTAATAACATGTTTTTCTTGTTCGTTTAACATTCTCCTTTAAATAGTTTTTAAGTAAACTAGTAAAGTATGCCTTTGGAAAACCTTGTGCATAAAATATAATAAAATAAAATGTATACCTGTCTTTGTAGCTTAGACAGTTCATCTTCAGCGATTTTCTCCATCTCGATATCGTCCGTTGGTGCCGCCAAATTCATTGTTAAATAGTATTAATAAACGGTTAAGTTGAATACCTATTATTGTTTAGGTAACAAGTTATAACCTCCTTTCTAAGGAAAGACCTATATCCAGCAGTGGACTTTCAAAGGCTGTTGATGAACAAGTTATAGTTTTCCAGCTGATCTGTCTTGTGTTCGTAACATTAGATCGATACAGTCGCTATGTTACTAAGTAATACTATAGTACAGTAAATAGTAATCTTGACTGCACGGTGGGGGGGCTGGGGGATGGTTTAGGCGGTACGCTGAGTGTTGTGGGTCTGATACCCACATGGGACGACACTTTGTGTGATCCACAAATTGTTGTTATGAGTCTGGGTGTCCTTTGTGCCTGTTTCATGTATGTTTGTAAAGTCCCCCGCGACACAGGTTTTATTCCTAGTGCGGAAGTTCTCTTTAAAAAAAAAGTATACTTTGTATTTATTGTTTATTATAGTACCTATTGAATACTTAATGAAACCTAAAGAACATTACCTAATTTCTAAAGTTTATTCTCTCTTCTCTACTTTAATTAAAACATATATCGAAGTATTACTGACGTCTTAGAGTGGTGTGTTGTAAAGCTGTCCCGATAGATGGCGGTGATTTAATCCATCTGCATCGCACTAACAGTTAATTACCACTTTTAATGTACCTCTGTTAAATTTAATTTTAGTTAGTATATTTTTGTTGACTTTTCAGACAAACTCAAACTCAAACTCAAACTCAAACTTTCTTTATTTCATAAAATTTTCAAAATTGTTTGAAATCGTCTTCCATGTAGACTCTAAAGTCATAGATCAACACACACAAAAGCAACAATCTCTGTTTTGTCAAATAGTAACCAAATAAATTTAACAAAATCAAACCCATACAAAATCTATGATATGCCTGTGCCGATCTACAACCGCCCGTTTCCAAGGGGTTGAGCCTTATGAGAAGAAAGGGCAAACAAACTCATGGCCACTCTTTTGCAATTCACAAGTAGATACAATGGCACTATTAAATATATCACAACATTGTTTTGATGTATGCTAGTATGTCCGTTATTAAGGACTTAAAGGTGAAAAAACAACGAAGAGAAAACAAGATTAAGAAGAACAAACGAATACAAGAGAAAATGAAGTGAAACATAAAAAATAGAAAAAATAATAAAAAACATACTAGCCACACCACATTTTTACTTAAGAAAGAAATAGCCTGCGCTAATTAATCCCAAGCATTCTTGTCCTCCATGTAATCCACAATCGAGTAGTAGGCCCTCTGGCACAAGCCACGTTTTATTGCGGATTTAAATTTGTTAATACTCAACTCCTGAATATTATTTGGGATTTTATTATAAAATCGGACACATTGACCTCGAAAAGACTTGTTTATCTTTTGGAGCCTAGAGGCGGGTACAACAAATTTATTTTTATTTCTGGTATTTATGGCATGTACATCACTTTTTTTCAAAAAGCTATCTTTATTTTTGTGAACATATATTACATTTTCATAAATATATTGACTTGCCACTGTCATTATATTTATTTCTTTAAATTTCTGCCTCAATGAACAACGATTGCCTAAATTATAAAGTGCTCGAATAGCTCTCTTTTGCAGCACAAAAATAGTTTGAATGTCGGCAGCATTCCCCCACAGCAGAATACCGTACGACATTATGCTATGAAAGTAACTGAAGTAAACAAGTCGTGCTGTATCAACATCAGTCAACTCTCGGATTTTCCTTACTGCGTATGCTGCTGAGCTGAGTCTACTCGACAATTTATCAATATGTGGGCCCCACTGTAGCTTAGCATCTAGTGTTATACCTAAAAATGTCGTAGTGTCCACAAGGTCCAGCCCGACATCCTTAATTATCACAGTAGTTTTCACTGGCTTGACGTTTGGCATAGTGAAACGTATACACTTAGTTTTTTGTTCATTTAATAGTAAATTGTTGACATCAAACCAATGAACCACTTTCGAAATGGCGCTGTTTACAAATGTGAAATCAGAAAGTGTCCGTTTTAGTCTAAATAATAGTGATGTATCATCTGCAAACAACACAATCTCGAGATTGTCCTTGACAAAGTGAGGTAAGTCGTTAATATATACTAAAAACAAAAAAGGGCCGAGAATAGAACCCTGTGGAACGCCCATTTCTATCACAGAGACACACAGACATGACTGAAGTGTCTTACTAGCTGTACTAGCTGTGGTTTACTGATGGCGCATTAAGAAGAAAAGTATTAGTAAAAGGTTACCGGATTTTGGAGTATTTTTTCTACTAAATTTTTGACACGTGTTTCGCTATTTAGAAGTACAATAAATATAGTAAAGTTACAATCAAAATAATTAGCTTAAACATAAAGTATTACCAACCGATTACTGGCCTGTTGGTCCAGTGGTTAGTGATCCTAACTGCTAAGCCAGGCGTCGTGGGTTTGATATCCACTTAGGGTAAATATTGTGCGATGAGCATCATATTTTTTTTTTTGTTTCTAGGTGTAAATTTATCTATCCTATTGCCGTCCACTGCTGAAGCGAGAGTTCACCCCTCCCCCATACCATTAGAAGAACCAACTAAAGAATGCTTAACCCATTTGTGCCGAAGTATAGCTCTCCTATGGTTACCGCTAGGATCGTTATAAACCATCATCATTCAGAGCCTATAACAGTCCACTGCTGTAAAAAGGCCACTGCTAAGAACGGATGAGTAGGGGTGGTGACACTCCGTATTCTCAAGCCTTCACCACACGAATCATATATGAATGTTATAAACAATTACTGATAATATAACTTTAGTATGCCACCATAATAGGTTATTAATAGATCGTGCATACGTTTGAACCCTTTCTTTAAACCAACAAACGATAAGTTAGCGTCCAACCACATGGTTTGATTGATGTTCAATGTTTGTGTATCTGTTCTCCGCCGTTAAAAACAAATGGGTATTGTAAAGCCAATGTTATGTAAGGGAACGGACCCATACTATTGCGGTGGGAGACGACGGGAATACGAGGCTTAGTCACAGGGGCAGAGGCTTAGGTTTTCGTCATGTAGTCATTAAATACTCTTTAGGGAAATCTCACGCCTTTTCGAGCTATTTGCAAATATGAGGCAAGCGGTTGACTGATAAAGACAAATACCTATGACCCAATTCTTTGACGATATATCCGCATTGACGATAGATGGGTGCTTTTTACTATTGACAACAGGCACCCAACGCTTTTTTTCAAATTTATTTTCTATTCTTCAGTTTGGTTTTCTATAAAACACGTGTTTTTTAGTTTGTTGGCTTTTTAAAGAATTGGGTCATAGGTATTTGTCTAGGTATTTTTTTTTTAAATTAGTGTATTGTCATCGGTCCTCGACATATCTACAAAGTTTGAACGAATTCTGACCGTTTAAAGTCAGTCAAAATCACGCCCAAAGGAGTCGGTTACAAACAAACATACAAGTGAAGCTAATATAAAGCGTGTGAAAAATAAAATATCTTTAGTATAATTACAGTCTACTCCGCTTTAATTGTTTTGTTATGCTTCTACTGAGGCTTTCAACAGGCAACTGAAAAGAAGATTCGAGAAACTCATTGAGGCTGTTTTCATAGTTAAATTATAAAGTGTCGCATATATAGACTTTTAAATATCTAATATCCGTATTAAGGTTGTCTGTAAGAGATCGCCGTGAGCGATAAGACCGCCGATTGTTACGTCTAAATATTTGTAAGTATCTTATGTGTTAACTGTATACAATAAAGATATAAATAAATAAATAAAATAATATAGATACATATTCTGAAGCATATATTTCCGAAGGGGTGGGCAGAGATATTAACCAACTATATTTGCGAGGTACTCGTATAATTTAGTCCCATGAAGCTTTTGTAAGGTTGAGAAATCCCTTCGAATCTCCGGCTCCTTGGGGATGTGATTTCAGGCCCCTCCGAAAAGTAGGCTATTCTGGGGTGACATTGCAAACTTCTTCCCGCCAATCGATCCAATAAAGACGTTGTGGTCCATATTTAACCCAAATGAAGTGAAGGAGCTCGTGAAAAAGGATGTGAGTGATCAAGGAGAATGGAAAATAAACTCATTGCACCGATATCAAATAAATTTGCTAGGAAGTTGATGATGACGATGACTTTGATAATATATTTTTTCAGTATTTAGTGTCAATTAAATACCTAATGTAGTTTTTATTTCCTAGGTATGTTTCATCAATCATCAATAGCCTTTACTAGTCCACTGCTGGACATAGGCCTCTCGTTAGAAAGGAGGTTTTGACCTACTATACCACGCTGGCCAGACGAGTTGGTATAGTTTGTTAATGTTGTTTCTCTTATTGCAGTGCTGTTGTCCTGCGTAGTTTACTCCCTTAGTCGGCTCTTACGACACCCACGGGATGAATAGGGGTGGTGACACTCTACATTCTTAATTCGTTACCACACGGATAAGGTATGTTTATATATGCTCAATTTCTTACAGGTCATGATAACTTTAAGAGCTAACTGTATTAATTTAAATTGGTTGATTCACCTGTGTTTGATCATCATATCCTCTAGGAATGTAGTCTTTGGTTTAATTAACGTAATATAATGTTGAATAGTCTATAGGTGACATCTGAGGCGGGATACTATGGGGATCTTGTGTCAACTAGGGTGAATTCCTTTGCGTTTAGGCGATTTTGCCATACATATTATAGTAATCAAATATATCTCACTTAGAATCCCTAATATTTTGTGGCCGTGGTACTTTCCTGTTTAAAAGGGTGTATGCCTATTCTATTTTTATTTATAAAAAAAGGTAGGTTTACATGAAATCCACCGTTCTGAACCCCCCTAACTTCTTGCAAGCCATTTTCACTTTCGGTATCAGAAGATTAAGTAGTCGCATAATTCTAGTGTATCAAGTCTCGGCGGTTCGAATCCCTGTTAAGACTGTTTCGATTACGTTGGACATACTGAAAGTCACTTACAATAAAAGAATTCAAAATAGAACTCTTTGGGAACATGTTACTTTTTAATTTGCGAGAATTTCATTTGTTTTTTCATTGTAACGTATTTTCAAAAATTGTGTGTTGCTATTAAAATAAATTTAACTCGTCAACATTTACGTTCATTGATTTTTTATGATTTTCGTTGTGGCCGTCAACAAGAGAGTTGTCAGAGACTTCAATTGGCATTGGCATTTGAAGCAACATGTCGCGGCTCTGTGTATTCGTGGTTTGGAGAATTTAGACGTGGACGTGATCTCCATGACGAGGTACGTGAAGGTCGGCTGGCGACTGCGGTTACAAACTCTAATATTGACACCGTGCGACAGCTTATTGAAACTGACAAAAACATTACTTGCCAGCAAATTCGTGCTTTGTTAGGCATTGGACTGAGACAAGTTCAAAAACATTTTACATGTGCATCTGAAGGTTCGGACGCTTTGCATTCGATGGATGACTTAACTTTTACAGTAATTTAAGACTGGTCCAACTGTTTTGTACAGTGGTTTAAGCGAATGAAGAAATGCATGAATTGCGAGGGAATATACTTTGAAAAACAATAAAATGTAATATCTAGTCTTATTTATCAAAATCCAGAAACTTTTGGTATGCCCTAAGTATTACTACAATACATAGTTGTACGATTTACAAATCCTTGTACCAAGCCTTCGTTACCTTGTTATCGTTAAATCGATGTTTGTAAAGTGGCCTGCAAATTAAATTGCGTATGACGGTATTTTTTTTAATAAAAGAAATTCTTAATATGACTGCCATGCATTTATCTTCGTGTTAAAACTGTTTTGACAGCTAATAATACATACCATAAAGAAACCGGGTTATTTGTATAGGAACACAATCTGTTCGAAATTCAAGTTGCGCGCCAATAATTTTATTAGTAGCCTATAACTCGATACATACTTCAAGGTCCACTTTTTTTAAGCGGGTAATAAAAAATCCGTATTTTATAGGATCAGTATGAGAGCACTTCCTGAGATTTACCAACAATAAAAATAAATTTCGACATTTTGTTTGACCACTCTCTTTGCATTACCTTGATGATGTATATCTATCTTTCTCACGCATGGAGGTTTAGTTAATACATTCTATTGTTGTCTCTTTTTACCGCACGTGTTGATTTGAGTCAAAGATTAGATTGTAGAGGTGTATGCATTCTGTTTGTTTTGTGTAATGTTGTCAGTGTAAACATACTATTTGAAGTTGCGTTTTAGTTTAGTGTAAATAAAACGTTAATGTAATGAATGAAGAATTTGTTTTTTTTTACAAATAAATACTACAGCTAGTGTAAAATCAGGTCACTGGCTACCGTGTTCTTTTAATAGAAGAGCAACATTTCTAAAAGAAATGCAGGGAAAGATGAGCTACAGTTTAGAGTTGTAGATTAAAGTCAAAAGAAATGCAATCGTTTATATACGATACGTTAGAAATCAATTATTTTTGGGTTTAACGACTTAGATTATTTTCCTAGAGTTTTGGGTTAATTGTAAAAAGATTCATTTAAGCTTAATGCGTGTAATTGTTAAGTAAATAAAATTTACTTTATTTTATTTCACTTGTCGACTTACTGACTTAATTACTATAAGTATAAATAAGTTTTACGACACATTTTGGAATCAGAGAAGCTGGTTATTCAGCTAATAGGTATGCACTTAACAAAAATTGTAAAATGTAATAATGATAAATTGAGTATTCCATAGAGTCCATAGTATTTTAATATTTGTAATTAATGCAAAATATTAAATAAAATTATTTCCAAATCAGTAGGTACAATTTTTTAATCTATCCTTTGTAGTGACTATCTGTGTCACTTCCTTACTAAAATGTTATATATTTGTAGTAAGTTAGATTGTACCTAATCACCTGTCTCGTTTTCGGTATAATCTATGACCGACGCGGGCTGTTTCACCTCGAAGGTTTCGCAGGCAGTCTGTTGTGTTCGCCCCGTTGTCGAGGCAACTTCTGTGTGCCGGTCTGCCGTCCGCGAGTGTATCGACATAATATTGTACAGTGCAGTGACGTGCTTGTGTGCCAGTGAACCGGAAATGTTACCTTTGTGATACTCCAACACGTTATAATGGCATTAAAAAAGGATTTCGACATACACAGGAACATATTTAAAATTAAACTTCCAAAACCAACTAAACTTCAAGACGCAATCGAGAAAATATTTAAAAAGAATAACTACACCAAAATAGTGCAAACTTAAAGTACTAACATTTTAGCAAAAGACTCGTCAGATTAAATGGCCGGTGAATTTAGTGCAAATATTTGTAGAAGTAGAAATAGAAATAATAAGCCAGAACCACCGGATCGGAACATATCACCGAATTTTATAACTGATGAAACTGAGTTTGTTGGCAGTGGAGACATAAGAGCTTCAACACCAATTAACAGAAGTAGAAGAAGTCGTAGCAAGAGCGCTGGGAGGGGTACACCAATACCTTTGAGTTTGTCTGACGAACATTTTTATGAGGATTTAGAGGCATATGTACGAGAGATGTCGACTGTGAGACAGACGACAACAATGGACGCAGCACAAGAACAGGACATATGGTCGCAACTGCAGCAGAAGGAGTCGGATTTACTCCTGGCAGCAGAGCTGGGAAAAGCTCTTCTGGATAAAAATCAGGAGCTGAAGAAGGAACAGGAGCGCGTTACGGAAGAGTTCTCCAAAAAACTTGAGGTGAGTTAATCAATTTCACTATTTGCTTGTTTCGAGCACGCGAGTCTTGCACCAGTACATTTTGCGATCGTACGCAATAAGTCCCAAAGAATTTCGGACTTTATAATTATCTCATTAAGGTTTAATTATAATATTATTATATTGGTCTATTTTTTAAAAGAGTGACTAGTCTGTTGTGCAATTTATGTGCTTTGTTTATGTCCTTTCGTTGGCGGACGAGTTTCATTTATTTTATTGAAACGAAACGTAATATTTGACGTCCACTGACTGTGACGCTTTCGTTTGATATTAATTTCTGATTCTTTTTTAACTTGTGATATTGTTTGACATAATTTATACATTACTTATATAGTTTTAATCATTACGTTTTACTTTCATTCGTTTTAAGATTTCATTTTTAGATAAACAGAGGAATTTGTTTCAACGTAGATATATGTGATCTAGGCGGATGAAATATATGTATTATTTGAACGTTGTTTTTAACTTCCTCGATTATAAAATTAATTTCAAATGCTTGGTTCATTTCATTGTAAGAATTAGAATGTATGTACGTCACTACTGGTTTCTTTATTTCTGTTTGGTAACATTGAACAATTGATGACAAAAAGGTTGTATGGTTAATTCAATATTTATATTTTTGGAATTATTTAATTTAAAGTAATATTCGTAGTAAGGTAGTGTATTTCCTTCTCGTTTAAAGACTACCCTCAAAAACATTATAATTGTTTTACAGAATTAGCTATACTTACGAAATAAGTCTTGGTCCGGGCTAATGCAATGTTTTCAGTTAAGTACTAAACATTTAATAATAAACATTATCATTTTGTTTTTCTTATACATTATAAAGCCGTTTTATTAGAATAGGTTATGTAAATTAAATTATCTATGACATTTTTAGCTTAATTATGCGCACCCATTTTCCATAGATTTTACACACCACACGAAGACAATATCCGCACATCTTCTTGTCGTGTAGTGCCTTAATATGTATATTTTTATTTAGGTTAGGTAAGCCGTTTGAAATCCTTCTACTTACGAAAAGTTTCAATGGTATTATTTTTTAAGCCGCCATATTGATTATGTGCATGTTCGCATACTTGAGTTACAGTTTTAGTTATGATTTGTATCGAAATAAAACAGCACCATCTAGCGTCAATTAAACGCTACTACTCGTATTATAATACTTGAACACAAAAAAATATACTCAAAATTAATTGACTGCACGAATGGCGTAGTGGTCAAGCGGTCACCTCGCCGCTTCCTACTGTGATGTGTTGTTTTTTGGTTGAGCTACGTGTTGTGTTGTGTGTAAGGTTTGATCTCCACATGGGACAACACTTTGTGTGATCCACAAATTGTTGTTCTAAGTCTGGGTGTTCTTTGTGTCCGTTTCATGAATGTTTGTTTTGTCCCCCCTCGACACAGGTAGGAGTGGAGACCTACTGCGGGAGTGGTCTTTTTGAGAAATAGAATAAAATAAGAAGAAGAACTTCATATTATTTTTTCTTGACCTTCGTTTTAAAATAAATTGAACTGCTGATATTTAAAAGTTAGATTTGACGTCCAATTTTGATAAAGAAATATATACACGTAAAATAGGAAAATACTTACATTAAATAGAATAAGTTACAACCAAGAAAAAAAAAACATTTTCGCACACATTATTTATGACACAAAACATAGAGCGGAGCTGTCTAAAAAGGCGGGAAAAACTGCAGGAAAATTTTAGTTTTGCGTATAATGTAAGTTGTGTATACATTTTTATGATATGATGGCAGACGAGCAGACGGGTCACCTGATGGAAAGTGACGATCGCCGCCCATTACATTATTGATAAATAAAGAGAGGCAAAGCTTAACGGCTGACTTATTCGGACTCTTACGCTTGACCTACCCATATTTGGTTTAATTTCAATAAATACTAATTATTTCATTTTAGTCATTGATGTACAACATGTCTTGCCATCAGTTGTATGTGTGTACATTAAAATGTATATCTTTAAATACTAGTGTGAATGTAGTTATCGGAAATAATATTAACCGGATATCTGTTACGTACAAAAGTCTTTGTTAGAAATGCATTGCCTTAAATATTTAGCAATTACTTCAATTTCAATAGGAATGAACGGTTTGTGTACACAAACACTATTGTTTTAGTTCTTTTTAGTGTGGAAGATAATTTTGGAACATATATTTTTTCATAACATATTACCTAATGTTTTTCTGTCAAATTTGTAATGCCCACTGATTATAAAAGTGCATTTTTGCGCGCGATTTTGAGAGTGGTAGTTACAGGTAACCCAACCAAAAACAATTGTTTGTGGTGGCGGATTAAGAATACCAATGTCGACCACACCTATTCATCCCGTGGGTGTCGTAAGAGCCGACTAAGGGAGCAAACTATGCAGGACAATAGCACTGCTAAGAGAAGGAAAACTCGAAAGTTACCCTATACAAACCAGTCTGGCCATCGTGGTATCATCATCATCAACAGCCTTTACTAGTCCACTGCTGGACATAGGCCTCTTCTTAGAAAAAAGGTTTTGGCCTACCATACCACCAAGGAGAGGCCTATGTCCAGCAGTAGACTGTATAAGGCTGTTGATGATGATGGCCTCTTTTCTTATTGTTGCGTATTCATTCGACTGAGTCATCAGACAAACATACTGCCCGACGGGTGTTTACTGGAATTCCTCTTTATAGACTGCAACAGTTTGTTTTACTGTTCGGTGCTTGCCCTTTCAAACCTACTCGAAAACTAAAAAAAATAACACAAATTACATATTGCAGTGACTGCTGTTTTTTCCACACTGTGCCTTTTGGACGGATACACTGGTATTTTAAATGCTTATAAGGAATTTTATAACTCTCCATGTATTGACATAAATATTTCTAAACTAGAGTTTTAGTGTGCTGCCGTTTACCTGGTGTTATTTTTATAATATCTTCACACATCCCACATACGGCCGTCTAATCCCAAGCAATAAACACAGTTATGTATTTCTAAATACATACACATTATAGATAAATTACACTCAGTCAGTGCTCATCACACAATTCTTTTTTTCTCCCGCATTACGAATGTAATGCCTGTGCCGCGGAGGACTTCACAAACATCATGAAACGGACACAAAGAACACCCAGACTCAGAACAACACTTTGTGGATCACACAATGTATCGTCCCAGAACCCAGAACCCGGAACCCAGAACCCTCGGCGTTACGGCAACAATAGGAAGCGGCGCGGCGACCGCCTAAACCACTACGCCATCCGTGCAGTCGATTTGTCCTAGGTGGAAATCAAACCCACGACCTCCAGCTTAGCAGTTAGGGTCACTTACCACTGGAACTAGACCAGTCCAGGCCAGCTTAAGTAGTTAAAACGTGAAAGCGATACAAATACACAAACTTACACGCATTTAAAATATTAGTTGGAATTAAAAAAACAAGTAGTTTTAGTTTTTTTTCTAATTAATCAAATGGGAAGGATAATGTTGTTTGTAATTGAATATTTTATGATAAGCTTGATTGTTCGTGTAACATGGTTAGACACGGTGATTTTGTGGTTTTCACGTACTCTGAGAGTGACGTGTTGTGACGTCATTGGTTGAAAGTACTTGCGTTCTATGCTCATTAGTATATCACAGTTTAAAATTAGTTTAATTTTAAAAAGGTTCTTACATAATACATTTAAAATAGTAATAGTTCAATGACAAATTAAGACTTACTTATCCATACTAAAATTAAATATGCGAAAGTGTGCCTGTCTGTCTGTTACCTCTTCACGCTTAAACCACTGAACCGATTTAGATGGAATTTAGTATAGAGATAGTTTGATTCTTGATAAAAGACATTGGCTACTTTTTACCGCGATAAGCGACATACACGTGGGAGTTAAAAATTAGTTACTACCTATATTTGATTGGCCCGTTGGCCTAGTGCTTAGTGGTCGTGACTACTAAGTCGGAGGTAGTTGGTTCGATTTCCATCCAGGGCAGATAATTGTGTGATATATTTTACACCGTCAGGTGTGTGACTACAACAGCTAAGTTGGTGCTGGACAGACCCGCTACTACTGGTTGTTTGCCACCTTTAAGATAAAAAATATCGACGGCTACTGCAGACAGCTTCCATCCGGTCTTTAAAATTTTATTTGCTATTATTTGGCTTTGACTGACTTTAAACTGTCAAAATTCGTTCAAACATTGTAGATATATCGAGGACATACAGGATGACAATACACTAATTTAAAAAAATAAATGATAAAAATAATAATAATAATTTTAAACTATTATTATTATAAATCATTAACGGAGATATAGGCCCAGCAGTGAATGTTCAGCTGAATTGATAATGTTGATAGCACTATAAAGCAAATAATAAAAAAACATTCCATGTTATAACTGGCAGGTATATATATTGAGATAAAAAATACCTATTGATAAAATAGGAACAAATTGATAACAGATGATTGTACTGTCTTAAAGTTCTTACTGACGTGCAATTTCTGTTAGCCCTGAATTATTTGATTTTAGAACGCAAAATGGCGACAGGCTTTTTTTATCGTATTGATATGATAAGAGTAGGTTTTATCATCAGTTGAGATGCTTTTCGTATCAACATACCTTTACCTTTATCCGTGTGGTGACGGATTAAGAATACGGAGTGTTCCCCTATTCATCCCATGGGTGTCGTAAGAGACGACTAAAGGAGCAAACAGGACAACAGCATAACAAAGAGAAGTAAAACTTGACACAAAACCTATACCAAACCGTCTGGCCAGCGTGGTATAGTAGGCCAAAACCTCCTTTCTAAGGAGATGCCTATGTCCAGCAGGCTGTTGATGTGATGATGTATCTTTACCTATACGTTGTAATCATTTTTACCCAACTACGCTAGAAACAGATTTGTTTATCGAGTGTATGTACGTACGTTCTGTAGCCTTAAGAGCTTGCTGGATTCTGCGGTTGAGTTGTCGTTAGATTCGTCTTAATTCTATATGATACTAAGT